CGCTCTTCGGGTCGTGGAGCGTTGGCATCTTACTGAGGGGCCCTGGCTCCGTGGGAGAGTATGGCGCAAGCTCTTCGCCAAGGGCAGCCGCATGCGCCTTGGCCATGTCATGGTTACTTTTCCATTCGGCGTCGATTTCAGCCCATTTTTGTTCGGTGAGAAGATAGTGCTTCGATGTCACTCCATAATGTTCGGCGGTGCGCACTTGGTGCTTTGCATAATTGCGCCGCGCTTGGGCCCACTCGGCTAGGTGCTCTTCGATAGATGCAGAGTCGCACACTTCGGGAATGTATGGCTCAGGGAGGATGGTGAAGTTGGCGTGGCCCAAGATGTTGGCCCATCTGTCGTCAGGGCTAGCGAGCATCAGGGGAGGAATGTCGGCCGATGACACAGCAAACCCTGCATTTGGTCCTCGCATAGAGGCGTAGGAGGGCTTCGAGGACAGAGGGGGAGTAGGGTAGGTGCGCGTTGGAGGGGTGGGAGCATAAGCCAGACCCACTGACTGAGTCGCGTCAGCAACTGCTGGTGACTGTAAAGGCGATGAAGCCGGCACGTCTTCGGTCCGAGAGTGTACCAGCATGGGCGGTAAGAGTGGCGTAGCGGCATATCGCTCTCGTTCTACTTCCTCGGGATCAAAGTCAATGTCCATGGCATTGGCCCTATCAACGTCGATGGCGAGTGGCGTAGGAACATCCTCGTTTACTTGCTCCCTGCTGATCAAAGCAGGGTTGGAGGTGGGCGGCGAGTATTCGGTTGCGAGATCGACAGTCGACGCCTGGTAGAGGGAGCCAGCGAGCGACGAGGAGCGTGTCGAGGGTACTCGTGAGGGCGTTGTGCTGCGCGATACCCTGCTGAGGTTCGAGGTGCGGTCGCGCACTCTGCGCGACAGAGAAGGGAAGCGCCTCTCAATCTTGCCAGCAATGCTGTGTGCAGAGGCTTCCAATGACCGTCTTCGCTTTGCCGATTGTAGTCCAGAGTCGGCAGTGGTGAAGTACTCGTCCTGGGGGTCGTATGCCCTAGATATCCTGCAGTGCTGTGCATGACCATAGGAACCTTGGGTGTCGCCTGAGTTTGGATCAGCACCGCAAAGGCAACACGTTTGCAAGTCAAACTCACAAGAGCAGCGGTAGACTTCATGGTTAACGAAGTCGTACTCGCGCTCAAAGGGTTCCTCTGTTAGTTTGGGCAGCTTTCCTGAGCCATTGGGAGCGTCGGCCGGGTCGTAGGTTGGCGGGCTCGACGACAATGACGAAGCCGAGCTGGGAAAGCGGAAGTGACCACGGATGTACTGGCTTGGCGTGGGCGGCGTCGAGCACTCTGATGCAGAGTAGAAGCCAGAGTCTGCATTGGAACAAACGGACAGAGTTTGGTCTTCGTACATGGTTAATGAGCCCTTTGAGGATTTGCGAACGGCGGCGGGCATGTGAGGGAAGACGAGCGGCTTAAGGTCGTGCATCATGGCGGTGGGAGGATGGTAGGAGCGGCAGTTTGGGTTGGCGGTCGGGGCGTGATGTGGAATTTGCGCGCCGGATGCTGGGATCCCATCCCCAGCTTAAAAGAGACAAGCGACCGAGACTGTGGGCGGGCAGTGAGCGGCCAGCACAACACAGTCAATGGGCAGGCTTGGGGTTGGGGGAGGTGGAGAGGCGGTCGAGCAGTGTTTGGAGAGAGCCTGGGAGGGTGCCACGAAGCCGACCACGTATGTACAGCCTAGGCGTGGTGATGCTGCAGCGACAAAGTCAGCGCGTGCGGGTGGGCAAGCGGCTCCCAAAGCGGCCAGCACGTGAGTGCGCAGGGCTGGGATAGGTCCAACGTACGTACCGAGGTGCAGAGGCGATGCTCGATGCAGCAACAATCGTCAGTCGCAGACAACAGATGGGGGCTGGGGCGATGGGATCCGGTCTGTGTATATATTGTGGGCTGATGGCGGTGGATGTTTTGTGGTGGTGGTGAATTGTTGTTCGAGTGGTTGAGAGGAGTTGGCAGAGTGGCGTGGACGAACAGGAGAGCGAGGGGAGACGGGCAGTGGGCAGTGGGCAGTGGGCAGTGGGCAGTGGGCAATAGTGGCAGGCGTGGGATGGGATATACAGGCGGCTTTGTGCGTGTGGGCAGTGGGCAGGGCAGTGGGCAGGGCAGGAGCATGGGCATGGATGGGCAGGAGCATGGGCATGGACATGGACATGGACATGGGCAGTGACGACCCGTGCAGGCTCCTTTCACTTGCACTTTCACTTTCACAGCACTGCACGCGCCAAGGCCAGCGAGAAACCGTCGCCCCGAAGACTGGCTAGACACGGTCGGGTTAGCCGGCGCCGGCAGCTGTGAAAGCCACGCCGGTTTCGACGACAAGGGCGCCGTCCGCTTCGGTACACAAGACCGTGACGCCCACCCACCCACGCCCACCTCACTTGTTGCATAGTACGTACTGCGTAGTCGCATCCCATCCCATCCCCTGGCCCCAGGCACCGCCCTCAGCTCTCAACCCTTCTCATCCCAGCCAAGCTTCTGAGTAAGACATGCAGGAACATCCGCTCAAGCACACCTCCTCGTCCCCATCCATCCTCGACCACTCCACGCCCGCCCTTGCACCCGTGGCCTGGTGTTGGGCAGATGCACATGCCCAGGCCACACCCTGCAAAGTGCACTCCTGTGCTGTCCTGTGCTGTGTCTGTGTGCCCTGCCGTCCTGTGCGCGCTGCTCTACTTACTCTACACAGTACTTGCGCTGGTGCCGTGCAACACCCACTACCACTCGACTGCTGTGAGCGCAACCATGACGGCCACTTGACAGACTCGTCTATCGGGGCAGTGCACCAACACTCACCCGCTTGCACTAGATCACAGTAGCCCTTTTGCCAACCCCCATGCTGCAATTGCTTTTGCTTTTGCCGCCCTCGGACTTGCACTGGCTCCTCCCTTTGCCGTCTCTGCAGCTGTGATGACATCCACACACGTCTTCATCTTTTTGCGCCCACTCGTGCTTTCTTTTTTTTCATCTGTCCCGTCTCCCACCCACGCATTGATTGGCCCACTCCTGAAGCGTAGCAAGGGGTCTTGGGTGGTGGAGTTACTAACACACAAACATTGAACTGCCGTCTGAGCCTTGCCATCTACTCAAAAACAAAGTTATCGCGCCACTCTTACAACACTCGCCCTCGTGTTTCAAAACAACGTCTCTTATCCTTATCCCCTCTCACGAGTCAACTAGTCGATTACCATTGACCATGATACGATACGAGCCTCAAATAACATGGTGTAGGCGGTCTGTACCTGACAAAGTCCTAAAGACGCCCTACAGGGACACCAGGCGAGGTTGGGGACAGCCTTGGAGCCCAGCGGCAGAAAAAAACCAGCATCCGACCATGCTCCTACGCCAAATTGGGGAGCACTTTTGTGCGCGCTAGACCGTTGACCCACTCATGATTGGCGCCAGTCCCCTGTCGCGCTAAGCATCTTTTCCTGCTCCCCGGCGCCTTGCTTTCAACCGCCCCTTGTTTACGCGTGCGTGCGTGCAAGCCTCATACCTCACCGCCAGCATTCCTCTCCCCTTACCCCCAGGCTATGGTTCCCCGGTGTGTGCTTCTTTCCAAGGTTTCGGCAACGTCATCAACCTTTTCGCCTCGCCCTTGTCCATACCCCGGATACCGCTCACTACCTTACTCTAGTACAAGCTTTTGCCCGAAGGGAGGGGAAAATTTTTTGTGCGGGCCTACTCTAATTTGTCCTCTGCCGCGTCGAAGTAGCCGACCACTCCAACACATGAAAGAGAAGAAGTTTACGGAAATATGGAGCTTCCAATCGCTATTCCTCTTCTGTTATGCCGGCAACACGGTGACAGGCTCCTGGGTCATCGCATCATGACGACAAGGGCGAAAACAAGTCCGCGTAGTGTCGGTCCCGGTCTGAAGTCGGCAGCCGCCCCGCTCGCTTGATGGCCTTTTCTCTTGCCTGGTCGCTGGCCAGACCAGACGGCACGGAGAGCATGCAGACGCGGGCGGGACAATACCGTTTGCGCCAAACCCATCCATCCACTCCTGCTCAACGCTCAGCGTGCATGGCTTAACGGCCTCTCTCTCCTACTCGCCTACCCTCACGCTGTATATTGCACAAGAGGGTCCCGGAAATTTCTTTGCAATTATCGAATGTGGCTTACGTCAGGACAGACTTGACCACGTGTCGCTCTCGCACTGCTTCTTTTTGCCTCATATGCAATACGCTGCATACATATACTTACAGCACATGACATATATTTCCCTGATTGATAGAAAAAAATGCAGAGTAGTGGGAAAAAAAGCACGCAAACACTCCGAATGCCTGCCCGAGCGTCCATGTCCAGACCTTTCTAGTGGCGCTGATCCGTTGGGTTGACCGGATGCGTTCCTTGGCCTAACGTGGCATAATCCACCGGTATGTTGAGCCCCGATGCCCTGCGCCTCGAATCCACACAACATGGGTACTTTTGCTATCGATAACGCTTGTATACGCCCACCGCAAATCCTGTCAAAAAAACTCGGGATATCGGTGTGCAAGCAAAACTACATACATGATGTATATATCATGCATGATTACCAGGCCCATCTTCATGCTCATATCCACCCTGTCCGCGGCGGAGCCCTCTCGAGCCCCATTGTTGTGCGTGCGAACAGGAAAAAGATATCCCGTACCTTTCAAACCGTTGACATGAACCATGGAAACAAGCAAATGTTACTAGGCAAAAAAAAGTACCCAATTCCATTTCTTCGCAGGGGCTTTTTTCTTCTCTCCCACAAAGTAAAACGGCGTAGAAAAGAAAATAGGATAGACTAGTGCTGCGAACGCGCGCCGGGATCCATGTCGGCCCCTCAAGCAACCAGTCTCGAGCTCTATTTTCCCTCGGGTCCAATCGCGACGCGTCCGACTTGCTGACATGTCTTCAACCCTCTGCCAGCGTCGTCATCTCCAATATCGGTAGAGTGGGGTAGCAGTTCGGTCGTGTTCGCTTTGACAATTCCCATCAACAAATCAGATCCAGTATTTGCTCCACAGTCTTCCTTGCTCGTCTGAACCTTCAAACTGCATCCATGTCTTGGTCAGCCTTGCCTTGTCTTCCTCTATAGCTGAATACCCCAGCTGCCCCAATATAGACTAGGAAGCCCATGCCATGTTGAATCGAGTTGAATATCAAACGTACCTGAAAATCAACCTTGATGATGTCTACAAATCCTTCCGCCAGCTTGGGCTCGCGATATCGTGAAGCGAAGCCACTAAAGGCAACGTGGGGTAGGATAGTGCGAGATTCGCGGTTCGTCTATGTGGAAATGAACGTCAGCAGGGATACCTCTCTAGACCAAGTACCACCCTCTCCGACAGTAACAAAAGGTATTCATAGCACTGGTGGACTCTTCATGCGCACACGCATTAGCTTCCTCTTTAGGATAGTTCCTCCACAAGTCTGCGAGTAGTCTGGAAAAGTCGTTCACACCAGCTGCTGCGGAAAGGATTTGCCGCCATGCAACTTACTTCGGGCCCAACATTCAACGCTCGAAATGTGTCGTTGTGCTCGCATAGCTTAGGCGATGCTGTAAACAGCACACATCGTAGAGGTACCTTGAGCTTCTGCGCTAATGCAACCCACACGGCTCGAGTGTTTGGATCGGCATTGGTATTATCTGGTTCCGTTAGTCTTGTAAAACGGGGATCGTCTGGGGTGCCGGATGCATGTACCGATAACCACACTCGTACCCTCTTCGATCAGCCCAGTAGCTGACTTGACGCACTTTTCGCGCTGATCCAACAAAGTTACTCAAAAATGCATACACGTCGCACGGCTCGTGCAGAGCAAATGGCCAGTCAGCAACGTACAGTTTTAAGAATATCTTGGTTCACTCGTTCGTATCCGAGTGGTTGCAGATGCTTCCAGTAGAACGACGATTTGCCAGCACCGGGACTGCCACAGAATAGGACAATCTCTGGCGATTCCGCTTTCGTGAACGCTACTAAGATCAAGATCAGCAAATTAGACGATCATATTACAAGTGCAATGGTAAATATCAAACTTACTTGCAGATGTTGAGTCTCCACCCCGCCCCTTTACGAAAACGGTTGGATCAAAAGTTCGTATGAACGGCCTTGGCTCTTCGTGGCGGAAGTACTCCTCTGGCGTATGGAACGGTATGCCGACATTAGCTGCGAAGTCTCTGAACGCCCGTCAATCTCCACATTTAGTAACGCTCGGCGTGGGGCTGGGAAGTACGGACCTGTCTGAACACGCGTGGTCCTTCAAAACTCCCCCAGGCACAGCCTCACGACCGCCGGCATCCCCAACAAATACCGATCCGTCCAAGTCGACTGCCCCGGGTTTTTCTAGGTCGTGGTCTTCCAATAGTTCCTCCCACATGCCCGTCCTGGGCTTTCGGTACTGATCCCGGCTAGTCGCCGCGTATATTGAAATTGGGAGATCGAGCTGGCTGAGCACTGCCGTCACCTTTGTTTTGAAGTCGGACAGGCGCTTTTGATCAGACTTGACTGTTTTGGGGTCTGGCTTTAGGCTGATTCCGCCCTGGTTGCTGATGATTGCAATGAGGTAGCCATCGGCATGGAGATCCTTGAGTCTTCCAGGTACGCTACTATCCCACCATTTCCAGTCGCTTGCGTCGCGACTGAACGTCTTTCCCGAAGCGGACTTGATTAGTGTTGAGTCGAGGTCAAAAGCCGCTATTCTGCGCTTGCCTGCTGTGGCTGCCTGCGTCGTTGTAGTGCCTGCTGCACCGAAGCGCCCAACAAGCAAGCTATCCTTGATCACTCGCCACACCATTTTTTCTGGCTCTTTCTTCGATGCTGGTGTAAAGAAATTTGCGATGGCCTTGCCTGATCCATGTTAGTAGATCACGCCAGTATGGGGCAGCGGCAGACGCACTGGTGGTAGTGGACTGCTGTCGGCGCTTCGCTGCAGGCGGCGACACCGTTTTGCTGTTTGAAATCGCCCGCTTGTGTGAGCTGGATTTCGCATCCATGGTACGTCTTGTCTTTCTACCGAGTGCGGTGCATAGGTGTCGTGGTGCTTGACTACTGCGAGTTTTGTTGAAGGCCAAATAATCGTGTTAGTCGTTTGCACCCGCCCATCGGACGCGAAACACGAGTTCGCGAAATCACGTGCGGGGAAGGTCACGGGCGTGCAACATCAATCGGCAGTTACATGAGCTGAATCTTGCCCTTGGTGTGATATGAAAAGATTTGGAGTCATCTACAGTGTGAATTATAGTTACAAATAGATTTTTATGTCTATAAGGTTATAGACTAATCATCATAAATTGAGATAGCTGTAACAGCCTCCACATGTGCTAAATCTCTGATCTTGTACAACACCTTGTAGTGTCTTTATCCCGCATCAAATCTATGAAATACGAATCAATACTATTAGTACTGTTAATAACCCAAATCTTTTACAATTACCACTCATCGGCGTAGACCGTAGCGCATGTTGAAATATCTATATGAATTCCAAATTGTATTGATTCTGTAATTCTACTCATACACGTTATGTGACACATACCTCTGTCATATTCATGTTTCACGTACCCTCAAACGCCCAAAATCTCGCCGTTATCCTATTGGATGTGATTTTAGACGAACGTAATTCATCAGCGGCTGATGTGTGAGCAAGTCTATCGGCGCAAAGGAATCTAACTCGGTAGGCAGTGGTAGCAGCTCGAAGTCCCAGAGTACAAGCACAAAAAGTGTCTTCATAGTATGCATGGCGAGTTTTCGGCCTTTTGGGGATATTAGCGAGTGTAAAAGTGTCCACAAGGTCGACTGCCATGTCTGGAAGTGCTACTCACCGAAGCATCCTCTCGGACCAACCCCAAAGGCATGATTTGGACCTGCTTGTGGGTCGAACACAGAAGTACCGTCTTCATTCGTGCGAAGCCACCTCTCAGGCATGAATTCGGCTAGGCTATGCGGGTCCCAAGCTTCAGTCCACGGCGACTTCGGTGTTTCTGACTCGTTACCGCTTCTGCGCCTACTGTCTGGGATGTCGAAGGGGGGAGCCGTCTGACTTGGTCCGACATTCTGTGAACATGTATTAGTAGATGTTGTTGAGAATAATAAGGGAATGTCGACTTACCATCAACCATACCTCAATACCTTTCGGGATATGATATCCCAGGACTTCAACATCTTGTGTAGTGATCCGCCCATTCGACAAAGAGGTATGAGACAATCGTGTCATCTCCTCCAAAAATGCATCCAGATAAGGTATCTTGGTATTGTGTATAGCATCGAGTGTTGGCAGCTCACCTTGCACACAAACATCCTTCAAAGATTCACGCAGGGCATCTCTTAGCTTAGCTTGGACTTCTTGATGTCTAGTCAAAAATTTAAAGCCTGAGAGTAGTCAGTCCAAAAATCTTCCACTCACGACCATGCAAAGGAAGTACCCCATTTTACTGTTGTAGGTCCTGTGTCGAAGCCGGCGAACAGGAACAGGAAGAGCTCGTCCTTCACCATCGGACTATCATATTGTGTCTTCCTACCACTTTTCCTGGACTGTGCAACTTCGCGAGCAATCAAGAATTCGGCCGCCGATTTGACATCGGTCTCAGAGCTTGTAGGTCGGTTGAACTTTTCCCATGCCTCGTCAAGCATCTGCTGTATGAAGCGGTCCTTGCGCTTGACAGCTTGTCGAAGTTTGGGGTAAAATCTTAGTGCAAATGCGAGATGCCACGCACCAAAGGGAGACTTCAGTGCAATCTCCGGGCTACCCAAGACTTTTCCGATGTCTTCATACACAGCAGAACGTTTGGTTGGTGGGAAGACAATGACTTCGTGGTCGTATATGATCTCTTTCATAGGCGGGGAGGATAGTGCTTCCAGTTTGGCGTCTATACCACCACGAGAGACACCAAATGAAACGGCGAAGATGCTGTCATTCATAACCTCCTCCAGGTCTGAGGCTATGTCGAAAGGTCGACCCTCAGCAGCAGCTCCCTTCGCTTTCCACAGCTGTATAAGGGATCTTACATCAGAGTGGTTGTGTGGACCTGCCACATTCCGTAGAAAACCAGGAGACATCGTGTCTGCCATCAGTCGTCTACTTCCTCGCCAATGGCTCGTAGTGCGGTGTCCAGCTCCCGCGTGGGGTACCACGATCCTAAACGGGTGGCCAAAAATCTCGCCTCGATCGAACTCCCGAGTGCGGCGGGTCAGAATGTCCTGTGCTCTGTGCTCGAAGTCAATGAGTGTGCAAAAAATATCTGATTGGGTTGACCTACTCGCGACTATCTGTAATGATTACCCAAGGCTTGCTGAACGGTCGGATGAATATCTGCGTAACCGGGAAATTCAGCTCGACACAGTGGCTAGCGAAAAATGAGACAGTCTGTTTGGTTTTGGCTAGGTATCTGAGCATATCTGGAAGATCTCCAAGTAGTCTGCTCGCGCTGATTGTCTTGTATGGAATGCCAGGTAGTGGGGTTGGCATGACAGCTTGATAGACCAAGTAGCCCACTACAATGATCGCTGCCGGCGCCAAAAGCCACCATGGAAGCGAATTTGTGGACATGATGGATCATCTACCTCGTGCGAAGATGATCAAAAGGTTATCCCTTCGCAACGATGTTGCGGATAAGAATGTTGTCGAGATCGAGGCGGTTGGAACGCTCGAATATATGACCAGGACGTACCGTGGTCATGCAGCAAGCATCCCTTGAACAACATACAATTCAGAACCAACAATCATACGATAAACTTTTGGGACGACTACAACTTGAAGGAGTCCGGTTAATGTGTAATCAATGATCAGCTGCAGATCAGCCTTAGCGTGGATCTCACCTGTTACCGTAAGAGGCAATTCGAGGCTGGTATGCAGCATAAACATTACTGATCAAAAGTGGCTAAGCTAAATACTGGTTTTCGATTCGCAGAAGAGAAGATTGTGGAACAGAAGTTGATTGGACAATTGGGTGGTAAAGGACTTTCAAGCGAGGGGAAAACCATTGAAGAACGGCCAGTAAATACGTACCACGTAGCCAATTAGCATACACGCATTTAACTGTAGTAAAGCAACAATAACAACAACAGCGACCAAGAACAGTTTAGAACTTATGTGATAAACATTGCAGTATCTTGACTAGATACTCCATTCTTTCAAGAGTATCATCACAAGTATGTTGTAGAGAAAGTACGTGTTGCGACTAACCGCTTAAGAGCTATCCTTATCGCCCTTGTGTGTTCAATACCATCCACAAGCTTATCAGCGGACCCATTCGCGCTAAGTTAGTCGATATCAGAATGCTCAATACGGTAATGTACCTGATACGGAAAGGTAATGACAGCATTGATATACTAGCGACATTGACTAGAGCAACTTGTTAGATGTATATACGGTATACGCATCTGCTCCATTGAGCCCTGTTCAGCTTGTAAATCTTTTTTTCAAACGATTCAAAGACCTTCAATCATGGCACATAATTCTCATATCAGCGCTCGAGATGTCATTGCTGAGATCAAAGGCCAATCGCTTGTGCTGCCTGACTTGTGGCAGTACATGCCTGAAGAATACTGGCCAGTGGATCTGAACCCAGACATCCAACGCCTCCGCAAGCATATTAGAGAACGATTTCAGTGGTATGTCTTGACCAAAGATAGCCGTAGCAACTAATACTGACCGCGTGTTAGGATGATTGAGCGCATCCCAAGTAAGCGGCGAGGACTTCGTAAAGTCGAAGCGCAAGATTTGGGCCGCTTCGGCGCAGGATGGTGGCCGTATGCAGATTTTGAGCGCATGGAGACATGTACTGATCTATGCGCATGGGTAAGAACCCTATCGTATTACTTTTATAACATCAACTGACAGTCTACAGCTGTTTATCTGGGACGATGGTGAGCTACATTTCGAATCCCCACATTTGGACAAACATGAACTAATGGAAAGCAGAGATTGATGAAGCAGAAGGAGAGTTCAACTCTGATTACGAGCACGCCCAGAAATGTCGCAACGACATCATGCATTTCGTACGTGAGTTGTTAGACCTGCCACCATACAGGAAGGTCAACACGTCCTTTCGACCGATTTTAGAGACATCTCGGGATGTTTGGCAAAGACTCCGTAAGGACATGACGCTGCGTAAGCAAACTCCTCGAAATACCGAGCAGAATATTAACTGAATTATGACAATGTACAGACGAACGACACAACCTTGCCAAGGAGATTCGTATTTATTTGGAAATGGTCGGATATGAGCAAGGTCTGCGTGTCGATCAGTCTTTACCGACTCTCGAAGAGTATTGGCGTTTGAGGATGGCTACCAGCGCTGTAAAGATTACCACAGCGGCACTACTGTTAGTCTAAGATTGGAGATTCTCTACTGTCAAAGCAACGGTCGCTAATTGTTGGCAGTTACGCATGCAAGGTACAACTGCCCGCAGATGTACAGGATTCGAAGCTACTGGATGATGTATATGAGGCTGGCAATGGTGTGACCTCAATGTCAGTCCTTGGATTGTTCTGATGGTAATGTGGATCGAGTGCTGATGAAACGCTAGTATGAACGATCTGCTCTCTGTGCAGAAAGAGTTGGTAAGGCCCATACATACAATCGGTATACTCGTCTACACAGTACTGACAACTGTTTCAGGCTGCGGGTGCATCGTCCTCAAACATCTTGTTCGTGCTTTACGCCGAGACTGGTAGTCTCCAAGGAGCACTGGATCGAGCACTGGATCTGCTTGCGCAATGCTCGGCGGAATATGAGGTCTGCACTGCAAGGCTCTATCGTGCCTATCAAGATCGTCCTGATATCGTGGAGGCTTTAGAGAAGCTGGTAACAGGATGCAGATATATGTGTACCGGTAACCTGGCCTGGAGGTATGTGAATTTATGATCTACTTGGACTGACTGGCTCTAATCATGTCATAGCCTTGCCACCACACGATACGGAGTCGTTGCTGAGCATGATGGGACCGTTAAAATATCTTTGTAAACGACTTTGCTGAAATCTATAATTACTGTAGGCTACTGTAACGTAATTACAATAGTAAATAGATGTTATGGTAGGCAGAGTAATAGGTGTGTAGTTGGTCGGCTACGGAAGGTTGGTGAACTTGGGCTCTTTTGGGACGTCGCTATAGAAGAGGATATAAACATGAGGGTAACATTGAAGTAAAATCGTCGCTAGAAGTAACAGTATTAAAGCTATATGTATTTTGATCCTTAAACATTATGCTATATCGATCCAGAAATTGTTCCGGCACGCTCCTCGGTGATGTGTGCTGAATCTGCGCGCGGCAGACACTCCACACTTTGTGCTCTCCGCTGCCTCCAGATATCTCTGTTTTCCTTTAGCTTCTTTGCTTCTGGGTGTTCAGTTGTCGATATCTTTGCCAACGCAGCCAAAGCCTCCTCAGTCACCCTCTCGCATTCTTCAACTTTTCCCAGCGCGTTGTATGCTGTTGATAGCTCAATCAGGCCGCCAATTCTATCAGGATGAAACTCGCCTCTTCCTTGTAACGTGTAGCGCTGTCTCTCTGTGACATCAAGTAGGTAGGCTACCGCCTCCTCCCATCTTTCCTGAAGCACCCACACTCGGCCCAGGTGATAACGGCCCCAGAGATAGGCGATGTGACCTTCGCCTAGATTGCGTGCAGCGATAGGTAAGCCATACAGGAGGAGTACTTCTGCCTCGTGTAGCATGCCCATCGCGCATTTTACGAGAGCGAGGTTTACCATCGCAAGTAGTGTGTAAGCATGCTCCTTGCCCAGTTTTTCTTTTCGGATCTCCAGAATTTTTATCATCATTGCATGCGCTTCATCCAAATGGCTTTTCTCCCCCGTCCGAATGGCAGAACTGCAAAGGTGCTCCCGCGCTTCAAGTGTACGTGTATGTTCATCTCCATGCAACATCTCCATGCCTTCTGATGCGGTGACAAACAGTTGACGGGCACGAGTCACATGTTCTTTGGTGTAGAACATGAGTAAAGTCTGGCCAAGCCAGTCAATTGCATCGAGAGTATCTTCGTGGTCCAGACCGATCAGCCTAGTGAGCCCCTCGACCGCCTCTTCTTGGAGAATTTTGGCCTGGCTAAATTTGCCTTGTAAGAAGAGCGCCTTTCCAAGAGTGAATTTCGCTACCAGTGTCTCCTGGTGATCGACGCCCAAGAAAAGCACACAAGCGTCCAAGACTTCTTTTTCCAGCTTAGCTGAATCCTCACTTTGGCCAAGGTTAAACAAGGTCATGGCCAGTAGCCTGGTGGCGCGACGAGTAACAGGGTGCTTCATGCCTAGGATTTGGCTCGTGAAATCTTTCACTGCAGTTTGGAGTCGTTTGGCCTCCTCCCACCGTCCATTCTGCATGTAAACCAGACTGAACTTAGCATATGTTATAGCTTTTCCCCTATCAAAGCCGCCATCGAATACCGGCCATGGTTTCATCCGTGCCATGCGCTTGTCCCTCATGCGTTGCTCTATAGATTGCTGACATTGGCGTACGTGATCGACATGGGGGAGGATATGTTTTCGGACTTCTTCCTCCTCTTCTGTATTGCCAAGCGGTGGGATCAGAATGCAGTGTGATAGTAGCATTGCAGCTGCTTCGGCCCAAACTCCTTGCGCTGCAATACTCATGCCAGGCCGCTCACGCGCCCATTTGTGTACAAGGGGGTGCATAGAGTAGCTTTCGGAGTTGTGACCTTTTATTATGAGTGAGAATTGAACCAACTGCCGTAAAGCTAGACGTAGTCTATCTTCATTCATCGCCTTCTCATCACGACCATCTCGGATGACCTGTAACGGTTTAGCAAATGTCTTCAAAGAAGCAAACGACAATGTGACCTACACTGGGTAGAACAGGTGGACTTCGATTCTGATAGAGGTAGGTAAGGACTAGGAACGCGGTTTCTTTGCACCATGTCGACCAGTCGGGTACGGGCTTGGCTGCCTTGGATCGACGTTCATTCATTCTATCCTCGACTTCCTTCCTATGTTCAACCTTGGCATTCTCGATAGATCGTTGCAAAAAGTCATATCTAATGTCTTGGTTGTGAAGAAATGCAAATGTGTCAAGCAACTGAAGGGCGTCTCGAGATGCTCGTGTCGCTCGGTCCTCGATAGCTTCTCGGTTCAACTCGAAAGTTGAGAAGACGCTCAACTCGTCGGCCGCATCCTTGTCTCTCACTGGAAGTCTGGCTTGTCTCGTCGCTTCCCATTGGCGCTCATAGTATTGTAGATACTCGCTCAACTTACAATACTCCTCGCGGATGGCTCTACCCGCGTGCGTGATTGCCAATGCAAGATAGCCAAGGGCTTTCGCGATCTTTAAAGCAATGCTGGACACGACCGTGTCCCATGGTTCCGACTGACCGGCTGCTTTCAGCAGTAGACTGCTTGCATCGCTGGTACTCAGTCCTTGGAATTCAAAAAATCGATCACCAGCAGTACCATACATCTTCTTCCCAGGGTCGCGGGTTGTGACGAGAACGTGACCTCGATTGCCTCGTGGAAAATAGTCCGCAAGCTTGAGGTCAGGGTCATCAGCATTGTCGATGATAAGAAGCCAAGGAAGACTTAGGTTTGATAGCCAATGTAGTGCAGCGTTTTCGTTGAGATCGACTTTTCCAATTTTTGACACATTCTGAGAGAAGGTCTGTTTCAACCGCGACCGGCTGCTACCATCTACCCAAAAGACTCCCCAGAAGCTAGAAGTGACCCATCAGTAGCGTTGCATAAATTTGGAGCCATGTTATACTAACTATTGGCGATTGTCTTCAGCAAACTTGGAGCAGAACTGCGTCTTCCCCGCACCTCCAAGCCCATACACAATGAAACGTTTTTGTTCTGCCTTGACAGCCGATGTACCGCGTTGCTTCCGAGAATGACTCGGTAACATCCAGCTGCGCAAGCGTTTTGCGTAGTCTTCACGACCAGTATAAAATGGGTCGACAGGCTTCGGAATATCAAAATGTTCGTTGGTCACCGAGGCGTCGGAGGCTGAATTGTGCGCAATATTATCGATTGCAATACCGAGCTGGTTCACGACTGACACGGATTCCATGTTGAAATCGCGATAGGCCGTTGTAGTAGTCACGGTTTCATATAAGGGTAACGATGTGTGCTGCGCTTGTTCCATTCGACTCTTCAGTTCTTGGAAATCGGCTACCAGTTTGTCGAGCTGGGCGTTCTGATCCTTGCGACTTTCACGAGTGGACTGCCTGCCTATCGGTCAATAGAAGCAGTTGAGATGACTGATTCACTTACATGGAAATGAACCCAAGCAACATTTGCAAGGCTCCCTGATATGTGTTGATTTGGTCTCGAAGTCCAGAAATCATGCTGTCTTTGCTTCTCTTTTTACGCGCTTTGTCCCAACCATCCAACCTTCCAGTGACTAGCTTATGATTGCCGTAGATAGATTGTACCGATTCTTCAAGCTTCTTTGTAAGCTTCTGCCCGTTCTTGAGAGTTTGTCCTGTGCTTGTCCAAAGGCTCCTCTCTTCGTCTCCCATTTCGGCATTCGTCATATTCTTGAGATATTCCTTCTCAAGGTGACCATGAACCTTTTGAAGACCTTCGACCTCGTTGATCAATCCTTCAATGTCTTCATCCATAGTCTTGGCGGCTGCTTTGATGTCTTTAAGATAGTCGATGAGCCGAAATGCGACATCACCGATTCCTACACCCGCAGCCACCAGTGAAATCGGATCAGCCATATTTCACGCTATCTCGAGCCAGTTTCCAGGCGACAAAGGTTTGCGAGGCTGCTCGTGGGAAGGCTATGCAGAGTTTTGACATAGAGTACGTAATACAATGTGGTTAGAAAGCAGATCGAGAATGTTTGCACTGCATAGACAAGCACTGTGAAATGAAGCAGAACAATCTTTTCTAAGGTAATCGAACGGCCGCCGTAGGAGTGGTATTGCGCTGGCCAAGAGAGCAAAAGGCGGCTGCCTTCGCAGGTATGCATGCGAGCGAATACCTCCATGGCCTTGGATCGCTATGCATTCAGCCGGTAGCCGTCATGGGGGGGGGTTAAGAAACACGGATGTAACATTGGAATAGGCTCAGCAGACCGAAGGCGCGTCGCGGGCCAACCGTAACCCGAGTACGTTAGCGATGGTTCAGCCAAAATCATTTGACTGGTCCGTTAATGGGTTCAGCCCCGCAAGCCATGGCCCTCAACCTGCCACACTTTTCGATCCTGTGTGCCGATAAGGGAAGGCAAAACGACTGTGCCGCCCACTTCAATCTGGGGGGCGAAATGCCAACTATAGAAGTATTTTGTTGACGTCCTTATACCTACATTCTGCAACTGCGAGATTTCTTCTAATTTCGCTATATTTGAACTAAAGGCGGAATCACAGCTATGAGTACCTTGGACATGAACTTTACAGGCAACAAACTCATAGCCTTACTCTTCATTGTTCTTCCCTTTTGGGGATACAGGATCTGGCGTCGTCAGATCCAACGTAAAGTATGTGTGCCCAGAGAGATTATCTGTTGGGCTACTGACATTTAAGAGGAAGAAGACCAATATGCGGCACAAATGGGATGCAAAGCACCACGGAGGTGGGCAGCAAAATGGCCGCAAGGCTTAGATCTACTCCTCAAAGCAGGACAACACGCGAGATCCCAGACTATTCTACAATTTTTCTTGGATGTAGTGGATTCCAGTGGTCCTACTCATGAGCAGCAGTTGCGTAAGGTTCTATGGGCGCTATCATTGCAACTAGCACTAACGAGAACAGTCGGAAATCGTGGCATTAATACAGTGGAGCCACGCAACATAGAAGAAATTCTTTCGACACAGTTTGAAGGTTTGTAGGCCTTGCTTCCCTGAGATGATGGAAAGGACTGACCGCCCATGGAAGATTTCAGTCTTGGGCTCCGACCTAAGCATTTTGCTCCGTTGATGGGAAGCGGTATCTTCACCCAGGATGGTGCAGCATGGAGGCATTCTCGTGCACTTCTACGACCTCAGTTCACTTCGAATCGCTACCAGAATTTTGAGGAGATGAAGAAGTCGGTCGAGAGTCTCGTCGATCAGATCTCTCCCGATAGCATAGTCAATTTGCAACCGCTGTTCTTCCGTTTGACTTTTGATACGACGACATTTCTTCTCTTTGGCAAGACGCTGAGCTCTTTACAAAGCAGCGATATCGCTGGAAAAGAGTCTGAGTTCGCGGCGGCTTTTAACTTGGGTCAGGATTACCTATCGCATCGTGGCCGGTTGGGAGATTTGTACTGGCTTGCCAATACGCCAGAGTTCTGGCGGGCTTGTAAGACTTCACACCGCTTTGTTGACGATGCAATTCAGACCGCACTGGATGATGCTGAGAAGCCGAAATCCAAAGAGACGGAAGACGAGGACTCGAAGAATTACGTGTTCATTGATGCTCTTATCCAAGAAACCCGGAACAAGAAGGAACTCCGCGATCAGTGTCTCAATGTACTCCTTGCGGGCAGGGATACTACCGCATGCTGCCTCACTTGGACTTTGCGCTTACTAGCTCGACATCCTCAGGTTTTGAAAAGATTACGAACAGAGATAGAGGAAGTAGTAGGCCTTGGAGAGCATGCGCCTCAGCCAACTCGGGCAGACCTGAAGAAGATGAGATACCTTGACCTGGTATTGAAAGAAGTTCTTCGTCTCTATCCATCTGTGCCGGTTAACTCGCGTGCAGCACTTAAAACAACAACGCTGCCTGTCGGAGGAGGTCCGGATGGAAAGTCCCCAATATTAGTGAGAAAAGGCGAAGCCGTCGGTTATTGCGTATACGCCATGCATCGTCGCACGGATATCTATGGGGAAGATGCCCTCGAGTTCCGCCCTGAGAGGTGGGAAGATGGACGGTTGTTGCGCGATGTAGGTTACGGATACTTGCCCTTTAACGGTGGGCCTCGAGTATGCCTAGGCCAAGAGTTTGCCCTCCTAGAAGCGGGATACACTGTAGCGAGACTAGTGCAAAAGTTTCCTTTCTTGACTGTCCCACAAGATGAAGCTATTGTGGCAACTGGAAAGGAAAAGCAGGTTCTAACGTTGGTGGTTGCTTCGGGAGATGGGTGCCGTGTACATATGCGTTCGTAGACTAGTATTGCAAACAAGACACAAGACGATATCCCTCCGCAAAGATTGTGGTGAGAGCAGAGGCCCAGTTACACAAAGAATGACACCTCTTCGAGTTGGTTGTCACGGGGAAGCAATTCTGAAGGACGAAAACAGTGATTCCAAAGACGTCGTGACCAAGAAAATGTCATTGTGTCGTCATTTGTTTGACGAGGCGTTTGGTGGGGGCTGCCTACTCTAGCGGGCGTTCTTTCCTTGGTAGTGTTCTACACTGACTAATCATATTACATCCAATCACGTGTTCCGTATTTCTCAACGTACATGTCAATCTACTTGGCCCTGCCATTCATCAGCATGGTGCAAAGATTCAACGTGGTCGTGCTTGGGTGGCAGGAGCTGGAGGAGGCTTGTACTTGACGCGAGGGTCCTGAGAAAGACGATCGGGCAAGAACAAGTTGACGCAGCCCTTCATCTGCGTCTGAAACCTCTTGAGCTCGTTGACGCCTGCCTCTAGCACGGCGGCATTGTTGAAGTCTTCGATCTGGACAGTGGCATTGAGTACGTAGGCGCCGCTGGGGTCTAAGAGATGGAGCCCAGTCCAGGTAGGGAGAGTGACCTTGGGGGCCTTTTGGATGCTGCGAGCGCCGGGCTCGTGGAGAATGCGGTGCATGAATATGACGACGTTGCCGTGGACAAAACGGTATCCTTCGACGTAATACTCGGTGACGAATCTGGGCTTTGGTCAGAGGGGGCAACTAGCATCACGGTGAGAGGCAGTCTAACTGGTTTGGCCCGGAGGCGAGCATATATGCATGAGGGTCGCCAGACAGTAAGTCAGTGGTGTGGGTGAAACGGATGGAGACGCCTCTGTCACCAGTATCTGGTATGTCTTTGAAAACAAACGACCACACAGGCTCGTCGCCATCGTCTACGTCTGCAGACAGTGAGGTGCCGCTCTCTGGCAGGGTGCTTTCTTGCCCAGCAAAATCATCTTCGGTCAACTTCTGGACCAGCTGGGTGTGGTACAGGACGACGGGGGCAGCCTGCTTTGCCTGTTTCTGGGCGACTGTCTGGGTGCCTCCACGGCGGCCCAAGTTGGAGCCGGGCTCCTCAGGCTCGCGCAATGGCTTGTAGATGATGTGACGCTCGTAGATGCGCTGGGGCTGCATAGCAGCAACGCCGGCGAGTATGTTCAGGACCTGCTCATAGCGGGCAAACGTGACCTGGCCATAGAGGTTGAGCTCGTGCATGGTGGCAAGGGCGGAGCGGCAGTCGGAGGAGCGAGTATCAATATGCAATTCCCGGTGGTCAGGATGCGGAGAAAGGCCGTGGGGTCGATAAGGGCGGGCGGGCGTGTACCGCGTTTCGATTGGTGGGGAGGGAAGCACTTGCAGAGAACAGAAAAGACAGCCGTGGGCTGGCCGGCGCGGCTGCAGGAAGCTATGACCGAGATGCGCAAGAACGACTCCCGCCCACTGCCACCACTGCGCGCCGCCCGCCGGTGCCATGTTTGTCCGCCCGTTGCGTGCTCTAGACGGGTTGGTTGGCAGTCGCAACAAGCGCCGGGTTTTGTTTTGCCTGCCTGTCTGCTGCTCGTTCGACCGTGGGCAGACATGACCCCCCCGGCCAAGCCAACTTTTATGCTACTGAGCGGCTTCGGCGTTAGCGTTGTCCCCGCCCGAGCGAAATAATATTTATGCCCTTCTCTCACCCAAACCTGCTCGGCTCCCCTCCACCAACCTTATTGCCTGCCTCTGCTTCTGTCTCTGTCTCTGCCTCTGCCTCGTCATCTGCCCTCTCGTACTATATCACTGACCTGTTGCGCCTCGTCGTGAGATACAAAATCCGCCGAACCCCGCCTGGTTCTACTTCGGCTCATTTCTCGACCTTGATACCACCGGAACCGCTACCTGCCCTTCGCACCACCACATCACCACATACATTTCACCATGAACGCAACCAGGGCACTCGCTCGCCAGCCCTTGATCCGCTTCTTGGGCAAGCGCACCACTCCTTCGCGTATGTTCTACAGCAGACGAGCCTTGCTTCGCGTAACTAACATTGAATTGCAGACATTGATCACACCCCGCACGTGCACCCTGCCTCTCACATGAAGGAGCTTCCCTCGTCATTCAAGGCCTACCGACAAAAGGCACAGCAGCACGGCCCGCTCAACGCAAACGCTAGCGGCCTTGTCGGTGGTCACATTGGCGGTGCAGCTGGCAGGAACCTTGGCCCCGTCGAGGCTGGAAACGGCCTGTACTTTGATCGCTCCGAGCTGCCTGCCCGCTTCCAGAACCTGTCATGGACACAGGCCGAGATGGAGCTGCTCGAGTCTGGTGGTGCCAGCCAGTTTGCGTAGATGGGCAAAAGATAACGACGCGAAGATAAGGCAACGGTTGAACGAGCTAAGAGGGACTGACGTTTTACGTTTACGCGCTCTAGTGCGGGGCAGAGGATCAAAACTGGCAACGAGGCACGGCATGAGAGCTAGACACGAGGTTTCGCGACAGAAGTGAGGGGCACGTGGCTGCCTTGGTTCGATACCCATCAAGATGGACATTTCGAGGATACTAGCATTTGGGATACGGCATGGTTTCTTTTTACAATCTTTTTTTTTGCGTTTTGCTAGGGACTGTATTGGGACTGTATGGGTACTGTACGGTGACAAGAACGGCATTCATTACTTATTCAACACGAAATGCATAAACAATTGATAATCGACGTTGGTTCTGTGCAATCTGCATGTGTCGCGTGCACTTTGTATTGATTTGAGCATTTCTCGCTTGCCAAAGAAGCAATAATCCAACTCACATGTATTTTGATGCCTGCGCAACACTCCATCTGCCCGAATCACCCAATTAACTGTGACAATAACCGTTGCAACGATGGCGACATTGTACAACAAGACACGCAACTACAAACCCCCACATGGTTGACAATGCGCCGCGGAATCAACTCGGGCAGTCTTCGGATGAGTGGGTAAATCCAACTCCACCATCCCACCTGGCGCCATCCCACCTGCTACCTCGGCACACATCCCCGCCTGGCCCGACACGCACACACAAATCAACATCTGACAAGCAAGTCAGTTGGCATTCAACCCCACTGGAGCCGAGCATCCGATTTATTCTCTAGGGAGCAGGTGTCGCAAATGATATTCCCCGACCTATTCTTGCCACACCCAATCGCAGCGCATCAAGCACCGTAAGCTTATGCCCAAGTCTAGAATTTCGGGTTTTACAAAGCAAATATTAGCAGTAGCGCTGCCATGTGTAAATAACACAGGGAAATAACAATATCGGTGGGGCGGAAAGGGCATGCAGGATGACAGGCCTAGCCCTTTGTCTTCTCCAATTCCCCTAATTCCCCAATTTAAACCAAGCTTACATGCGCGCCCATGGCATGTTGGAGCGAGCAACCAGATGGCAGCATTGTGGCAAACGAAAAAAAAAGTAGTGGACCATCTCTGGTGTTACTTTCCTTATCTAGAAATTCCCGACACAATGAGGCGTGTGTGTGGAAGATAGGTAGGTATACCGTCGGATAACTGAAAACAGCACAAGAAAGTATCCGGAGTTTCCATTTCTCCAAGGTTTAGGTTTTAGGGTCAGACGAATGGGGGATGAACGGGTAGCGTATAGTGTACAACTAGCCACTACTGCCTCCCACCACATCCGGAGGAACAGACAGGGGTTCCCGTCTAAGTAGCAAATGTTGGACGGATTACGTGGTCGGTTTTCTATGCATACTTGTCAAAAACGTCTGTGCACCATTGTACTACTTACCCCTCAGTGGCTCTTCTGGAGCCCCACTACTACGACTCTACTATGCGCTTGTTTAACATTATCAAACTCATCTAGTAAGCAATGAGACAGACAAGAGATGCCAAAATAAGCTAGCAAAATAGTGTCTTCGGTCAGTATCGCAACTATGGACTCGTACTAGGACTCTACTTACAGCTCCCAGCTCCATCTACGGTCCACCACGGCGTTAGCCATGAATGTAGTAGGGCTCCCGCCAAGCACGCAAAATTGTAATGGACCTTGACCTGGTGGAGTGTCTGTTACACGAAACACAGTATTCCAGAAGACACTCCCCACGAATAGACGAAATCGGGCGGTGCTGCGATACTGGCCCCAAGGCTTCGCCCGTCCGCATGCCCTACAGAAGATATTTAGATAGGACGTAAAGTTTGGAAAAAAAACCCAAAAAAACCACCCTACGGTCCGCAATTCGCAATATGCGGTAGTCTTTATCGACGACGACGTTAACGCCGAGGGGGGATACCAAGGAGGTTGTTCCCCTATAGACTCTCTGGCGTCGGCGGACAAAGTCACCGTCTTTCGACAAAGTGCGTCACGCGCGAATCTTGCCTACGGGGTCCATAGGGTGGCGAACAGCACGGAGACCGACGGTGAGGCCATGGTCAAGTATCTGTCCCAAGAAACTGAGCTGGTAAAGAAGCTGCTCGTCTATCTTCCCTTCCGGAGCATGGTGCAGTCGCTCACCCGCGAGCTCAAGTGCTTCCAGTACGAAGGGCAGATGCGGGAAGAGGAACGACACAAGAACCACCGTGGCTTTACCACCTGCAAGTCGGGCATCATGGTCGCGACGACGGCCTTCAATGCCGGAGTGCATGTGCCCGACATCTGATGCGTCATTCGGTTAGAAGAGCCTGATCATCCCATCACATGGTCCTTATTTCATGGACTCGGCCGTCCTGAGCAAGACGCTTAAAACCTCCCGCCTTTTCCACCAACAATAATAATAAAAAGTTCAACACCAGCTACACCATTAGGATACCGGTGGAGACCGCTGGATTCCGAGTCCGTTGAGGACAGTTACCCAGTATCTACGGTTTGTCATCTGCCAGTACAATCAATCGCGCTAGATCATCCCTACGACCAGGCTACATCTATCAGGATATACTCCAGCATACGGAAAGAACACGCTGTCTTTACGGATTCACTTCCATATTTGTGGGATAGGGAGTATATTTATTAGTATAGCGAGTTCGTTCCACCTGGATATACTCCAACACAATGGGAGAACTGGCGGTCTTTACGGACTCTCTTCCAGTCCACGACTATTGCTGTATTCGCTCAGCCTTGTCGGATAGGACGTTAAACTTATACACAGATAGATAATAAATACACACAAATAAACATGCATACAAAGATACATACGAGACGAGTGAGATAAGATCACAGCGGATGACTATACCTTGGTCAATCCACGACGTAACCAATGCAAATAGAGGGCTTACAACGTAGGAAAACACCAGTGTTCACATACTCCCAGTCCATATCAAGATATCAGCAGGAGATATCTTTTGTGGTGGATTTGAGTAGAGAGCTGGTTCTGCCTTACCATCAGCTTTTCCCCACATTAGTATATTTTAGCCTAGTTTTCCAGTTTAAACAGTTGCTACTACAACCGTGATACCATATTTTTCAATATAGCTATATAGCTTCACACCCCTCAAGATAACAGTAATCAATCCAATACCACTACAAAGAAAGACGCTGGCAAATCAATCGGATCTTAGCAAGTAAGACACTGACGAATACAGACTACGTATGTGGTCCCGATACGATTGCAAACCCTATTGTTACACCTGGTCGGGGTTCCCTACACTATTTACCAAGGGCCCTGTCCTATTTCCTTCGAATATGGTAGGAGTATGCGTACGCGCAAATGTCCGTGCTCGTAAGCAGCCAGCGATTGGGCGGCATGGCGCGATATACTTACGTAGTAGCGCCAAAGTTAAGAATGGCGCGGCAACGGGGAACCAGGGGGGGGGGGGAAGCCAGAAGATGAGGTGAGATTTCAATCTCAAGAAAAAAAAAACATGTCAGGGGATAAACATCTGTGTGTGTGTGCACGCGTGTGCGCTGAGAGAAAGTTTAAACACCCCGGAATACAAAATCGTCACGGGTTTGCCCTTGAACTCAAAATTTGGCGTTGCCTTTCACGGTGTAAGGTGGTGCATGCGTCGCGGTATTACCATAGCTTTTCCCCTTCCATCCCTCGTCCTTGCAAAACGGCGTAATGTGTGTATATACTTACCAGTGGTACTAGTTTGTCGCCAACGACAAACATGCGCATCATGCATGACTTTTTCTCATCCCCAGTCGTTCGCATAACCCCCCCCCCAAGTCTGCATAATCCCCAGAGACTAGAAATAGCAATCTCCTCGCTTCGTGGGGGCCGGATTAGTTTGATTCGGCCCCCCCCCCAAAATACACACCTGTTGTTATTTTACTTAATCACATCACATCACAACACACCACCAGCCCCTTGCCTTACATACTTACTACCCTACTAGTGCCAAACCATGGCGCCAAACAAGTCCGTCTTTCCCTCAGCGCCTCCTCAGGCAACCCAGGCCAAAACCCATGAAACACTAGAGTAACCCGGAGTCGCGCCGGGGTTTTTTTTTTCGCAAACAAAAGATTGAACGATTCAGAAAAAAAAGGGGGGTGGAGCGGCGGGGGGAAGAAACGGAAGAGTGAAGTGAGGGAAACCATTGTTTCAAACTCGTCACACAAGTAATATTCTGTTAATTAAGCCAACCAACCAACCAACCACTCATTTGTTTACATTCATCTTTACTTGAGACAAGACGACATTCTTTGTTTCCCCGGCAATATACATATATATATATTTCTCTTTTCTATTTTTGACACCGTCCCTGAGGCAAAACACATTGTTTTGTCGCACGAAAATCGTGTTCGAGTCGTGATAGCAAAAGGCGATTTGACTTTTGTTTTCTTTTTCTTTTTTTAAAAAAAAACTTGTCGAGACAATTTATTCCATGCCTGTCCCGTGTACGCAGGGCCCCGGGGTAAAAGTGGAAAAAAAAAAGAGGAAAGAGCTGAGCCGGGTCATTGTGGCTGGAGACAAAGAGGGTCTGTGTGTGTGTGCATTGACGGATTCGGGGGGGCAGGGAATGCAACGTCCGTCCGTTGTAGTAAGTGGCTGTGTAGTAAGGTAGCCAGTGGCTGTGCAGTGCAGTTGCAACGTAAAGTACGGACCAACAAGAAGAGAAAAAAAGGACGTGCGTTGTCGTCGTCGCCGGGCTTGTTCGTGTCTGTTTGCATTTCGGCAGTTTTTTTTGGTCTAGTTTCTTAGTCCTCTCGAGCAGGAAACCAAGGAAAGAGCGTGAATTTACGAGTCAAGGATGCTTGCGCGTTAATACGATAGCTCAGGTTCCTATTGTTAGGGGTGAGGCACACGTATTCACTCTTAGCTGGATTACGATGTTCGCTCGCGGAGACGCGGAGACATGTCATTGGCCATGTGCGTGACATTAGAGAACCCAGATTGGGGGCAGTGCGCCGGAGCTTGGAAGCCACGGCAGAAACAGGGAAATCACGATGTGCAAGTGTGGGAAATTTGTTTGTGTTTTTGAGACAATGCATGCTTGCACACGATCGTCATGTTGATTCATTGTTTTGTGGTATCTGAATTGTGCCTGAAGATGACGAGCATATGGGTATCTAAAGAAGGAGGTTTGAGCCCATACACCGGATCCCTAAAGCTGTGTACATGAAAGTGAATGGATAATACATGGTCCCAGCATGCTTGGGGTTAAAGCCAAGACATTGATTGGTAAACGAGTGACGAAGAAAAGAAGGTGAGTCGTAACAAGGTCGTGCAAAGCGCTGACCCGGCCTGCGCTAGCTAGATTGCAAGAATCTTGGGTATATTGATCATGGCGAGAAGCGCCTCTAGGACAAGCTTAGGCCAGGCTCCAGTTGGCCTTGAGACGGGTGGTCTCGGTGATACCAAGAGCCTTCCAGGCAGCGCGGGACAGGTCAATGTCGTAAAGACCTTCGCAGCCAGGGCACAGGTCCATGATGGTGGCCTCGCACTTCTTGCCCTCATACTCAATGTTGATCTTAGCACCGCACCATGGGTTGCTGGAGGCACCAGTCATGACATCGTAGGTGGAACCACCCTTGGCGTTCCATGCACCCTTGGCAATGGCGACGACCATCATGTCGTCGGTGAGGGGCTCACCACAGGCACCTGCAGCACCGGTGTTGTCGTAGACAGTGATGTCGACATTCTGGTGAACCTCACCGCCAGAGGATGATGACTCAGTGGTAGGGTACTTGGCAGGAGCTGGGGCGGGAGCTGGAGCAGGTGATGGGCTGGGTGTTGGGGTGGGAGTTGGGGTAGGAGCTGGAGCAGGAGTGTAGACCTCCTCAGGCTGAGGAGCTGGGGCAGGAGCTTGGGAAGGCTCTGGCTGAGGCTCGGATTGAGGCTCTGGCTGAGGCTCAGGCTTGGGAGAAGGGCTTGGGCTTGGCTTGGGCTGCTCCTGGACCGGAGGAGTGTAGACTGGAGGAGCAGGAGCACTAGAAGCAGGAGCACTAGGAGCAGGAGCACTAGGAGCAGGAGCAGGAGTGTAGGCCGGGAGAGCAGCTGGGGTGCTGGTAGGAACGGGCTTCTTCTGCTCGTAGAAAGCAGCAGCAGAGGTAGAAGAGACGGCACTGGGAGTAGGCGTGGGCTCGTCACCGTAGACGGTGGTGTAGATGACGACGACCTCAGTGACGACCTCGGTCTTGTAGACAAGGGCGCGCTTGTCGACGGGGGCGGCAGCGGCAATGGAGCCGAAAAGGAGAGAAGCGAGGACAGTGGAAGCCTTCATTTTGACGGTGGATATGAGAGTTGGTTGGTTGTTGTTGTTTTTGGTAGTCCAAGGAGTTGGCGAGTAGTGTTTTGCAGAGAGAGGTTTCTCAGGGAATGGCTGAACTGGCTAGCAGTTTCAAGAGTGAGGTTGTCGCGTTGACAAGTCGAAGACAAAGTGTCTTGGAGAGAGAGTGGAATGAATGAAGGTAGAACAAAGCCTCAAGCCTGTAGAAAGAATGATACAGGAGGAGGGCGGGCGACTGAAATATAGAGAGAGTGGTGTGGGTTAGCGGAGGAGAGAGAGAGGTGAGGGAATGCAAGAGGGTGGGTGCGTGGGTTCGGTTGGGCCTTGACGCTAGCGCCGAGGCACGGCCCCTTTTGCAACGTGCCTGGCCCGCCTGCATCGCATCGCATCCTCCGCGCACGACGAGGCCGAGTGAATGTGGCGCTGCCATGCCGGCCCGGTCACTGGTCGAACGGCGTGTCCCTGGCGCGTTCAACAGTGCGCAGAGTCTGCAGCCGTCCACTTTTTTTGCTTATATGCGCGTTCGAGTACAGGTGCATGCTCCGTGTCAGGCCCGCCGGCGTGTCCGCCCCCCCCCCCCCCCCCGCTGCGCAGATGCGACGACTTTGTTTTCGGCCTTGTGTGTTTGCTGTGCTGACAGTGCGTTCGTGTGTGCGTAATTGAGGCTGCACTGCAAATAGGGCACACAAGGCGCACGCTGGTTTCATGCGTCCGCAAACGGCAAGGGCGGGGGTCAGCGCGGCGGCCAATCAGAGCGCTGTTCCTGACGATCACTAGCGCCCGGGCCGTCGGCGGCCAGGGGCAGAGCTGCCAGCTGAACCCGCTAAACGAAACACTCTCACCCAGCTGTACTCTCCTTCACCGGCTCCGTATACCGGCACACACGTGTATCCTCTCCAGTCGCCCCCGCCGCCTGCGCTGGCGCACCACAGCAGCAACACCAACGACAGCTGCCACCATCCCGTGTGCACATCTCCCGCCTCCATTGGCCGCCTCTTGTCCGCCCCGAATCCGCTGTGCCCCCATTTGCGCGCCGTGGCCCCCCGACTGTCCAAGAATGCATCACGCCGCCAAGGTGACATCGACTGCTGCATGCCTTTTTTGCCGGACTTGTCATCGTCGCTCGTCGTTCGCTCTTTGTCCTGCGAGCCCTGCCACTCCGCAGCGTGTGGCCTTCCCCGTCCCACTGCCATGCACTTGAAATGAATTGTGGGCCGCCTGTTCCCTGCTCCCCGTCCTGACTGGGTAGCTCTCGTCCCGCGCGCCAGCTATGCGCGAGAATTTTGACTTTTGCCTTATCCACTTATCGATTACGATAGGATAGCTATCCATCTGCATCTGTCATACCACTGCGTTGCCCATCTTACCCGACCGCGCGTCCTTACAGCTTCTCCGACTGCTACCTCTAGACAACCAACAATGTCGTCATTAACCCGACCAACTTTCCCTCTACATCATCCGGTCCACGTAAAAGGCAAAAAACTACTCTAGTCCTACCCTCTAATCCGCTTGCCGAACAAAAGCCGTGCAATGGTACAGTATGAGTGCTCGGCACACGTCGTCCCAAGATGTCATCTTCAAAGGGTTTCTTTTGTTCCATGGTTCACTGCCCGGATTCCCAAACGCCTTACTCCGTCAGAATTTTCTCGCTTGCTCATCTCCACCTCGCCCTTACTACCCTTAGCGTATCTCCCGTCATAGCTGCGTACATACAAGCCTCTTACGTTGAGAAACCCCCATGTCCAACAAAAACCCGCCACGGTCTAGAATCGTCCGGTTCCCCTCACCATTTCTAGCCTGAACCTCATCTTTTCGTCATGTTGCATCTTGGTACCTTAGACGCCATCCAAGGCTTCTGCCGAACAATGCACTCGTAATTTTTTCCCTTCCCAAGATCCCGCAAACGGCTCAACTCTGGGTCAGGGTGTCATGCACACCATGTCTCCTTTCTCCGGCATTTTTTCTTTGGCTCTTCCCTAGTGCAAACTCAACTTTTATGGTACGTAACAAAACTTAGTCTGTGTAGTTTTCCATACGTGCTTCTAGACACTCCTACTACAAATCAATACATCAGAAAAGGCGTGTCGCACTCTTCAGCACGCTTAACATCATCATCTCCACACACACGCCACGCCCTACCACAACCATCATCTCCACCCACCCAGAAAAAAATGAAAAAAAATTGAAAACTCGGCACACCGGGGAAGACGGCGGGTATGCGAACATTTACCCCGCGACCTAAACTCGTCCTTTTCTTTTTTTCTCATCTCATCTCTTTCTGGCTGTTTTGCGGAGATTGCAAAACACAAAGAAGAAGAAAACAAAGAAAAGTTCGTTTCCTGCACACGCGCCACCGACGGGATCATGATTTTTGGAAACTCTGTCCGTGTCGGAAACAATGCCTCAGGCACCGACGTTGTAGCATGTGCATGCACTAGATGATCTCTTTGCCTCACCCCAAGAAAACATTACCCAATGCGACCTGTTGAGAGGTCTTGTTGTGCTTTAGTCCATTTTCCTATGTTATCCACCCTGATAAAATATGCTCATCGCATCGGTCTCCGTCATATGCGACCTCTTGTTACTTTTTTTGACGGGTTTCTTTGTTTTTGTTTTTTTTTCGGCTTCACATGCAGGGCCCGATCGTTATGCTTTGTTGTTGCCTCGTGGCATGTTCCGTTGTTTGGGCTCTACTCTTTGGGGCACTTGGGTTCCTGTGACTGTGCTTGCTTTTCTTATTTTCGGAGTGCAAATGGCTGTGCTGAGGCGGGGTTATTTGTACCACGTGCTTAGCATATGACATGATGATTTTCCATGACTTTTCTTCTTCTCCCTTCTCTCTTTCTTGGTTGATGCGGCAAGTAAGTGATGATTGGATACTTGATCTATTGTGGACTGATATGGATATGTTATTGTTCTCGATAAAGATGAAGATACATAACGTATGTTTTGGCATTCCAATCCTAATGTTGCTGAAACAGGTCTCCCCTATCTACTTTCCCAGATTTAACTGGTTTATTCAATACTGTGACATCGAGCATGACCAACGGATACATGATGTGAAGTACTTTATTAATCTAACAATGGCTATTCTTTGCCATCTTCTTGATTGAAATGTCTCACGCAAGTGCAACGAGGTTTAGACTAGAAAGTATAAGAAGCGAAAAAGAGACCCAAGGTTACTTGCTGTCGTAACCAGCATCTATGGAATTTGGCATTGCTACGGACACTTTTACTGAATACTACTGTGCCATTCTCGTAACTTTTGGTGGATAGATTCAATGTTCGTCCATCTCAGTGCTGAAACAAAGGCTCTGAGCAAGCATGGTTTGATTGAAATGCTTTGTTAGACGTAGACTTTCCACGATCTGTAAGTTCCTTCCCTCACTGCTACTGCGGTCCTGTGTGCTTTCGCCATCTCTACCTCCAACCCAGCCTCAATATAAAGGTCTGTTAACAGATCCACTGTTTTTTGACGTTCCCCGATCACCGCATAGTCGAGTGCGGTTCTCTCGGAAAAATCTCTAGCCTCCATATAGGATTTGCATCCATGTTCTATCAACAATTTGCATATTTGAACAGATCCGTTCGCAGCAGCGTGATGCAACGGAGTAGTCCCATAAGCCGTTGAGATTCCTGAGCTCGCGCCTGCTTTCAACACCTTATGAATTGATTTGATCAACAAACTATACTCATCGAACTGGCACAATATGTGCAGTGGTGTTCTCCCAAGTATGTCTCGACTATTCCATAGGGCGATATCGTTCCATAAGCGTTCATCCTGTTCCACAACAAATGAAAGTTCTTGATCGTCTTCAAAAACGCCATCAAGTATACGATGCAAGACTGTCCTTCCCAAGCAGTCAAAATATCCTATATGCGATATCGATGTCTTCCAATTCTTCCAACTCACTGAGTCATCATGGAAAAGTCCGAAAAATCTACTCTGCTCGGCAAGTTTGGAAAGGCCCAAAGATTCAAGCGCCACTCCGATTTTCTGTGGTACTTCAGTTGACAAAGTGGTATAGATTTGTATTTCTTCTTCCAGTTTGTCCTCACCGAGCTGATCGCCATGGTACTTGAGCAGATGTTCCTTGAACAGAAAATTTCTGCATGAGTCCATAGAATCTCTAAGCCCATCAATCGGTATCTCGTCATTGCTTTCCCCGCAAAGAGGGCAAGTATCAGTCAGAGAGTTGGGAAATACAGCGATGATTAGACTGATAAGCGAAGAACGTGTCGGAAGGGTTTCCGGGGACTGTTTCTCAGTCAAGAGTTTTGCCAAGCATGGGAGAATTGCTTGATAGTAGATGGCATTGACAAAAATTCTAAATTCTGAAGCCGGATTTTCGTTAATGCGAAAACGAAGGCCTGCAAAGAACGAGTCCATGGTTTCGAAAAGTTCGTCAAGCCTTGTTCTAGCCATGGCCATCATTTCGTAGTAGCTTACGAGAGTTGCACTGTGAACGTCTCAACCTTGCTGGTCTTGTTTCGCAGAACTTGGAGGGCATTAACATAGATTTGGTCAAAGCTGATTTTCAAGGCATCTGGATCGATTGGCGGGGGAATTTCGTCGTGAGTTGGTAGTAAAGACTTCGATGGAAGCTTCCTAGGGCGTATCACACGGGTTCCTTCTGAGCAAAGAAGCCCCTTTTCAGTACAGCGGTTGCATTTTTCCGAATCTTGCCGAATACACTGATTTTTGATTGTTAGTACGAGTTGTGGAAACCTGCATCGAATTGTTTTTACGTGGCCATTGGACTGAGACTTGCACCCCGATAATCCAATTATGCATGCGCGCAATCACTTACAGCCTTTTTGTCATCCCGGCACCTTTGGCACTTGGTCATATTCAGCTTGCGTTTTTTTCTCCCTGAAATTGATGGCAAATGCTGCTCTTTAGGATGTTCTTGATGTGGCTCCACTTGGTTTCCCTGTTCATGATCCCGTTCATGTTGCATCTGTTCTCGCAATTCTTGCCAATTATGTCCATTCACGTCCCGAGCCTGATTCGGCTCCAAGTGAGCAGACTGGACTTTTCCGAGTAGGTTACTAGGCGCTTCATTTGTGTTTTGATGAGAAATCAAGTTGTGACCACGGGACACAAATTCAATCTCCAGACACGCTTCGCATGTTGTATGACCGCAGTTCGAGCACAGGTCAGGAATGGAAACTGAGGCAAATAACCTGTGACATCCACAGCATATCCTGCCAGGGACGCGGGGGGTACGTTCTGTTTGATACAGGTGATTTATTGGGTGGTCATTCAACTCGTTGGTGTTCCTGAACATGATTGAGGTCGGGATGTTCTTCGAGGTGGAAACGGCGGGTAATTCAAGAAATGGAGTACAGATGGGAGAAGGTCGTGAATGAAGAAAATTGACTGTGATGGGCTGATCAGCCTGGTGGAAGAGAGAGGGAACTTGGGATATGCATCGCGCCTTTTGTATATATGTGAAAACCGCCCTGTTTGGTGGTCACTATCCAGGTGCGACAAAGCGCGAAAAGAGCATGTAATAACCCTTGCGACAAAGTGCGATGGGGAGAACGCTGTGGGTTCGCATTGCGTTGGCAATACCAGCTCATGCAAGCCACAACATGGCTGTGAGCCTAGCCTGTCTGCACCCATTCCCTATGTACTTACCATTGGCTATCGCACTTTGTCGCAGTTTCAAATGCCCGGGGCTGTGTATCATCCTGCACGGTATGATTTCAGAAGGATTAGTTAGGCTCCCTTTATTGGTAGTCGCACATTGTCGCAGTTGGGGGTCGAAGGTACATCTAAGCATGACTTTGGGCTCCTACTAGTTTTATCGTTAGCATCGCACATTGTCGCGCTTTTCCCATACCAACTGTGGGTGTCATGTAGGGAAGCCTGAACTCAGCTCTACGCGCTTATTTGACGTCGCATCTCATCACACTTCAATTCACACCAAGTATGGTTAATGCCATACCGATAGACGGGTAATGCGCCTTGTGGATCCATTCTTTGCCTACGGGGGCACTGCACTGTCCAACTCTCCTCTGGTCGCATCGCACCTCATCGCATTTTCGAGGATGCGATACTACTAACGGGGGCGCCACCTCAGGAACATAGGCCGGTACAGTTTGTCGCGTCGCACCTCATCGCATTTCGAAGATGCGATACTGACGGGGACACTTGCCTCTGCAATGTACATAAAGATAGCCCTGAGCCTCTGGCCCTAAACTCCTTCCCTTCAACCAAGTTCCGAGTGATCTCTCGTCAACATTCATTCCATTCAGTTTTTGAATTTCTTCTCGCAAGCGTACTCTACGACAAAAGTCAAATCCCACCCTGCTTGATTTGCCAAAACCATCATCCGCCACGCCCGCCATAAATACAAAGACATCAACGATGACCCCCACATCGTACATGAACGTCTCAAACACAGCCATGGCCTCTTCAGCAAACGAGGCAATTGTCAACAATGAGAATTCCGAGTCGCTTAGCGTGACAATAAGCTTTGGTGTACTGGGCTTGGTCGTAGCGATGGCAGGTATATTGATAGCTGTCCTACAGCTTCGACGCACGTCACGCTCAAAAAGAACGGTTGAAGTGTACGAGCTTCCGTGTAAGACTGGACATACCGAGTCACAATGCGCAAAGCTGACCGATTTTTAGAAGAACGCTTGAAGAACACGAAATATAGACAAGGTATTCGGACTGGCATGCATGGATGAGTGAGCGTTTGGCTGCCTAGTCAGACAGAATACGATGTAGTATAGAGTACACTGGGATATGTGACAGGGCTCAGCCAAGGCCTCAGGGCCTATAACCGTCGAAGAAGAGATGGGTATAAATATACAGCACCCGCGATGGGTGCGCAAATATATTGCGTAACTAATATTGTTAGTAGTCTAGTCATCTGATGCTTTTTTGATAGAATAGAATTTGGTTATTATAAAGCACAAGACTATCCTTCTATGTCAGCGCCTTCCTCCTTAGTGCGTTTCTTAGCGAAGGATACGAGAATGAAGGCCATGCATCGTATAGCCAACAGGTCTGGACCTTCAGACGTTAACAATCTGAAACCGGGCAGAGATGAGGATCTCCGATGTACATGAAAAAAGGCAGTCGAGAGTGGTTGACGTTGGTACGTATGGGGAATAGTGCATCGTCGAGCAATCGTATTACACAGCCGTTGAAACGTCGAACATGATGCAGCGTGGATGGGAGGGTTGGAAACTCTGGCGGCGAGTAAGGAGTCAGATGGGTAGGGCTGAGAGTGGAGGTTTCTTGGGCGTGGGCATGTGTCGATCATCTTCTATGAACTTCCTAGCTGCCGTAATAAAAGCCTTGGCACCGGGCAGCACGCGGCTTTACTGTGCATCCAGGTTTCGTCATCTTCTGTCAGGCAAGCACAATCCCATGGACCCCTCCCCAGCCACCGCGTCTGCCTTCTTTTCTCTGCGACGAGTGCTGTCGCGCCCATCTTCTCTACTACCTTGAAGGCTGTGTATATACGCGGCACGCCCGTGGCCACGTTCCGTAGCCGTTTTGTAGGCACCCTGAGCACATACTTACATTCGCCCGCCGCAGTTGTTCACCTATCCTGCGCGCTGACCACACCTCCTCTACGGATAACGGCCCCCTTCATTCTCGCCCTCATATCCAGGTCTCGCGCCAAGGGACTTGTTATTACTTGCATTGCCTACTACTTGTGGCTTGCTGCACTGAGCACCACCACTAAGCCCGTGCTTCGTTTCACCTCTTTGTAAACACCACGACTGGTGGCTCCCACTCCCGACTCGATACACTCGCGCGACTCCCGGTGCCAGACAGCACCCTCATCGCCATCATACATAATGTCTCTCACCGACTCCGAGTTGGAGCTGGTCAGCTCTGAGCTGCGGGGTAACAGCGACGACATTCCAGAAGAGCCCGACATGATACTTTCATCCGACGCCGACAACGCCGAGTCGTTCGCTCCCCCACCGCGCATTGCGGCGCGCTTCTATCGACATTCAGCGAACCGCCGCAAGTCGTCTGCGACGTCATCGCGCCGCAACTCGATATCCTCGACACATTCACACACATCGAATCGATCGTTCCGCAACAGCTGTCAAAGCCACCAGGTAGCCCAGCACCTTCGCCGCGCTTCCATACTCGAGGACCGCAAGGCAAGATTGGCAGATCGAGCAGCACATGCCGAGCAAGTCAGGCTGCGTGCTGCCCTGGCCAAGGCCGCCCCGCGTGGCTCAAACAGCGAAGAGCGAGCCCTCGCAGCAAAACAGGCCCGCGAGAAGCATCTCGCCCAAGTTGCTGCGTCCTGTGCCGAAGAAGTTAGAAGAGCCAAGAAGGTTGCTGAAGACATGAAAGAGCGCAAGGCCGCTGAGGAGCGTAGATATCGTATGGAAATGGAGGAGAAGTTGGCAGAGGCAGAAAAGAGAAGATTGGAATACAAACGCAACCCTCGACGACCGAGAACTGCCAGTTCACCTCCGGCCAGCCTCAAGCCACGCACCCAGCGTCCCGTCTTGTCAACTGAAGATGCAGCCAAAAGAATCCAGGCGGCCTGGAGAAGCAAGGTCAGGCGTGACATTGTCAGAGAATGGCTGAAACTTGGTCTATCCATTGAGGTGGTCCAGGAGACTAGTTTCGACGTCATCACAGGCATGCTTGCAGATGAGAAGCTGTTGAAGACGACTGATAGGATCATGACCTTGTTTGTGCTACTCCCCGATGCAGATCCAGTCCCCCGTAGCGCCGCTGTCAGGACCTTTCTCTCCTCGTATCTTATTCTGGGACACCCCACCCATGTTTTCAGCCGCGACGGTGACCAGGAGCAGGATCTGATTACCAAAGCCAAGGACCTTGTCATCAGCTTTGAGTCTGCTTTGGCCAAACTAACAAAGCTCAATGCCTACACTCCATCGCCCACACGCACAGAAACTGTTTTGCTAGCCCATAGTGCATTCGTTGCTGCCTTCAATGACTGGAAATCTCGTGATTCATCGGCGCTTGTTGAGACCATGGTTGCCTCGTTTGTCAGCCTGGACGAGATATGGCAAAGCGTCAAGGATGCGACAGTCGATGAAGTCGCCAATGAGTACAGAAACGGCATTCGGGACAACCAAGCTATATTGCTTAGCAGGATCAAGAAGCTGGCCGGCCCTGACAAAGCCCTTATGCTAATCAGGAAGGCTATACGCGAAAGCCGAAGGTCGAAGCCAAAGAAGAGGCCCGCAGGCGATACGGTTCGACCTCGTGTGGCCGGCGAGTCCACACCAGACTCTCCACTATCAGCCGAAAGCGCTGCCAAACAGGCAGAGGCTGCTTCTGAATTGGCGGCTTCTGGGCAGGCGAAGCCTGAAGACCCCACCACGCAGGGTCACCAAGCCCAGTCGCTATCCAAGGTCTTTACAGTGGTACCCGACAACCGCATACTCGTCCACGAGTTGTCAATTGACAAGGAGTACCGCATTGACCCTTCACCCACTGCCGACCTGCGCGATGCTCTCAATCGTGAACTATGTGACGCAATGCGACGGGGATTTGAGGACGGCGATAGTGCAAACTGGACCACTGCAATGGCGGAGAACATACGTGGCAAGTTGTTACGGCTGCTGAAGCCTGGCAACTCCATGCACACTCTCATTTCTGAGACACTTGATCCAGAGCATGTCAGCCGGCAATGCAGCCAAGGTGTCTTCTCATATGGCAAATTCTTCAACTTTATTGCCAGCATCCTACCCAAGCTTTGTGCACCGTTCCGAGACACGGAGGTTCAGGCGCTTGCTGAAGAACTAAAGGAGGAGGGAGATCTGTCGAGTATGATTGAGAAGTTGTTCAAGATCCTCCACATCATCGACCTGCTCTCACTAGATTACTCAAACTTCTTGTTGATGAATGCCGCTCCTACACTGATCAAGGAGGCTGTTGGCTACGAACAACGCATGTTCACGCAGGATCTGGAAGAAAACAAGATCACTCTTGACCGCACACGCCGCTGGTGGCGTAGTGCAGCAGTCAACATGCACACTGAGGCTGATCGCCGTGACCCGTGGAGCCAGGCCAATCCCCTCAATCGACCCACTGCGCACAAAATATATGCCCGTGGTTTAGTCGATCTGGCAATCGCAACTCCACCTCTTCGGGAGTCGGAGCTACCAGAGACACTCGAATTGGACCAAGCCCGGATTGCCCGAATCCGGGAGGACGCGCTTCGCATTACGACTATCGGAGGAATTCTCCTTACAGCTAAGAATCTACTCAAGCGGGATGTACGGTCACAGTGGAAGTCCGAAGCCAACAAGATGTGGCTGGTGCTCAAGGAAAACGGCTACATGTCCGATCCGTCGACACCGGCCAAAATTTCGTCCCTCCTCGAGTCATCGCGCAACATGCCGCCGTCGACACGCTCGCAGCTCTCGTCGACCATCACGAGACTCCTCACGCAGGCCGGGGCCGGCAAACTTTCCGACCCCGTGCTTAAGGTCCTTTTCCAGCGCCTCAAGACGCACATTTTCAATCGCGTCAGCGCCAGTAGTTCGGGCGAGCGAGTCAGAGCGGCGAGCACGGCGACCGAAGGCCTTGCTACCACGGGCCTACCGGAGTTTGTGTCTCAGGTTGCGGATATTTGCGAGCAGCTAAGTAAAGTGGGCGAGGTTGATCGCAAGTGCCACGGTAAGTGGTATGAGGAGATTGCAGAGGAGATGGAGAGGTTGGGGGTGGAAGGGGGTGAGGAGCTTGTGCGCTCGCAGAGCGTGGAGAGTTCGGGGGCTGCGTCTTCGTCTTCTTCGTCTTCGGTGTGAGACGTGAGATGTGAGACGGGGGAAAGATGGAAGGGGATTAATGGGATAATGTGGGGATTTGGCGTTTCGTCTTTTCTCTCCTTCTGTCTCTTTTCCGAGTCTTTCAAGAGACATTTTTTCTTTCTTTCGTTCTTGGGATGGAATGGGGGTTCTATGCTGTTCTCTTGTTCATGCCAACTTTTTGTGTCGTTGTTTACTTGCGAGGCGCTGCAGGTGTTTTCTTTTTCCCTTTCCTTTTCTTCCTATCTCTCTCTCTCTTCTTCTCTATTCGTACTCTTGCTTTCATCAAGTCTAGACCATGGCTCTCTTTCTTTCTTTTCTTTGATTTCTTTCACTCACGAGTAATATACCAAGGTCGGGACACGGGATGCTTTTGTTTGTATCTTTTGTTTTTTTCTTGGTATTTTTGCTGTTTGGAGCGGAAGCGAGTCATGTTTATACGTATATACCAAATCTTTTTTTCCATCATCTCTTCTGCCTTGCCTAGATTTGTGTTGTTCTTTGCTTTTTTTCTCTCTTCTTCTCCCGTTCACTTGATTCAGCTCTGTTGTGATGATGGGGTTTTGAAAACCTGTGTTTTAAATGTCAGGGCAGTGGCGCAGTGCTGGCTAAGTGACGTGAATGAGAGTAGTAAGTTCAAGTCAAACTGTCTTGTTTTTTTTCCGTCTAGATTGTATGAGAAGAGAGTGATAGAGTGCTCGTGTATGGACAGTCAGTTCAGTCAGTTCAGTCAGTTGACCAAGTGCAATTACTGTGTATGTGTGGGCATCGGCTCATCGTGCGCATAGTTCTGTTTCAGCACCAATCATGATCGCCGACTTGTTGCTGTTTCTTTCTCCTGGGAAGTCTCATGTATAGATCAGACAATGCATAGATCGAGATTGCATGTGCTCAGGGGTTCATAGGGCTCGGAACATGATGAATCAGTACAGTAGTCGAATAACACTGTCAATGGAAAGGGATGTACTTTTTTTTTCTTTTTTGAATGAGTGAATTTGTATATGTTTTTTTCTGTCCGTTGTGTAGAGACATGGAGAGTCGATATCGTCATATCATAGAATATTTATTGGTTTTTGTGAAGATCATGCCACATCGGAAAGAAGGAGAGATTATCATTGTCCGGTTTGTTGAATGTGCAGCAATCGGCGCTTTTCTTCTTTCATTTTTCCTCCAGTCATGGACGAGTTATGTCTGTGCGTTGTTTCTTTGCAGTGGAGGATCGCAAGGCGAGAACTAGTACCAAAGCGATAGGTTTCACGAAGCAGGTTGGAGATGCGCGTCGTCTTGTTCACCCGTACTGCAGGCAGTGGACGAGGAGAGCCACATGCATAGTAAACATTCTCCGATTAACCGAGTCGGTAGTATCAAAGATTTTGTTTGGGATGGGAATCGCCTACTGCCGGTGGGCCTGAAGCACCCGGAGGCCGACGTATGCCAAAGGTTGCTTTTCTTGCTTCATCGATCCGGCCCTTTGCAAGACTGATGCCAGGGACGACCCAGTCTCCACAGCTGCATTGCATGCCCTGCCAGGCATACTTGCCTACGTTGGTGTGGCACTTTGGGCACTCCAGACGACCGTCTAACTTGCCTTGTTCGAGCTCAGGTCGCATCCATGACAAGGGATCGAGGAAGTAATGGGCACATTTGGCCGAAGTAGGGACCTCGGCCTCGTCGTCTTTTGCAGTGTAAGAGGATCCATGTGATAGTAGATATTGCGAGGTTGCCAACGCGCGCCTAAAACAAGGTAAGCGCAAGACAGGAGAGTGGTGGCGGTAAGAGAATATAGGGTGACATCAAAGCCTTATCGTACGGCCCCACTTACCTGCATTTGCGACACCTTAATTCAAAGGCTGCAGCCTCATCAGCAACATGTTCGTCCTCAAAGCGGATCTTGTCAGCGTCTGGCGCTTGTCCACACGCGCGGCTCAACTCAATTTCGCGTTGGTAGACCCATCGTTGGTAGGCCGGGGTGGTTTCGACATCGAGTGGAGTGTGCATTTGAGCATAGAGGTTGAGCTGGTCCATGAAACCTGGGTTGGGCTCGCAGATGGACCGAGCTTGCCGAACGTGGGACAGGGCTTCGGAAGGGCTGATGTTGTGCTGCTGCATCAAATATGCGATGACAACGGTAGCCGATCGTGACTTGCCCATGGCACTAAGAAAGAAGGAGTGGTTGGCATATTGGTACGAGTAACGGGAGTGGAATCGAACGAGTAGCAGGGAAGCGGTGTGGAATTGGGGGAAGAATGGCCGAAAGGGCAATGCAGGCAGTTGCAAAGAGGAAAAGAAAAGGTGGACTTTGCATTCAAAGGATGCAGGACACGACGCGGGTGGGGGGGAATAACTGCACTTGCACTGTGGTGCATTGCTCCCAGCGACAGGGCACTGGAGCCGGCGGGTGTGGTGAAGATGGCAAAACTGCCAAGCAAGGCAGTCGGGGGCGGCGATCCAGGGTTGTGTGGGCACACGAGGCTTCAGCTCAGCAAGGGTGTTGACTTACCAGTGCACTAGGACGCCGCCACCTGCGTCGAGGCCTTCGCGAATGAAGCGATTCGTGGCCGGGAAATGCTGGAGGAGGTTCTCGTCGTCGACATCGTCGACCTCGACCACCATGTGCTTGAAGGGGGCAAACAGGGCGTCGTCGAGGGGCATGCGCAGGACGGACAGGACGTGGGTGATGTTTGCCTGTTCAAGGGCTTCACGCCGCCGCAGCGTAAAGATACTACCTCAGTGGTCAGACAGTTGGACAGTGGACCGGCAAGGTAAGACAAGGCAAAGGCAGCGGCAGCGGCAACGGCAACGGCAGCGACGACAACGACGGCGATGCAGCACGGCCTTGCAGAGAGGGGGGGTGATTCGAAACCACGGCGGGCGTCAACATTACGTACCCGCCAATGTACAGATTGAGGTTTCCGGGGACTCTGTCGAGGAGGGCCATGATGGCAGGTCGCAGAGCGGAAAGGGACCCGAAAATAGTCGGAGGCCCAAAAGGAGGGGCGCGAAGATCAAGGGCTTGGGGGTGGACGAAACGCAAGCGGGTGAAGAAGGTGTGCAAGTGAGGGTCTAATTTTCACCGAGGCTTCGTGATGGCGCACATCCGCCCAAATTGCGGACCCATTGAGTCTGGCGCCCAAGGCCGTATGGTGGTGCCTAGGCGATGACGGTGATGCACCATGGGGCGGCAGCAATCGTCGGAGATTTTTGCAGGCATGGGGTTGGTGGGCTGGGGTCATGGAGGTGGATGTAATGTGTGGTTGATGTGTGTAGTCGAGAGATACTAGAGGGGGGTGGATGTACATGTCATCCCAGCCAAGGCCATGGAAGAAGCCGGCTGAGCAAGACGACGACGCCGACGAGTGTAATAGATGGGCAGAGGCCGGTGTTCCCTGTCATGCGCGGCTGCCGGCGATCCGAAGCAGAAGGGTGCCAACGACAGCGCCTCCGACCATTTTTTACCTTTGCACCGTCGGCCATGACCAGTGTCAGGTGTGTCGTCGTCGTCGTCGTCGTCGAGCCAGCGGAACCTTCCGTACACCCGTGGAGCTGCAGTGCGCGGATCAGGGACTGCGAGCTCTGGCCATGGATGAGCCCTAAAGCCCCGTGTGCTAGTTTGCCCATGGCGCCTTATCTGCAGTGTCTAGCAAACCAAAGTGCGTGGAGAGCATCTAGTAGGAATCAGTATACGAGGCCAGCACGCGGACTGGCATGCCGAATCGAAGACGTGGGCGAGACCAGAGCGGGCCAGCGACAAACGGGGTCATGGAATCCTGGAGTCTTGGAATGAAAGCCCTGGCCTGTGGCTCGTGTGTTGGGCGGGCAGGCGGATGGGTGCAAGGCTGCCGTGGCGCCTCGTCCCGCATCTCGGCGAAGCGCATCACTGTTTTGGCCAAAAGGATGTGGGAAACGGGAGTTTGGAGTGACACGACTAGTGGTATTGGAGTGCTCTGCTAGAGTGTAGCTAGTAGATGCTGCTGTTTGGTAGGGCGGGCGGGAAATTCGATGGTGGATGACATGGCCCATGACTTTGGAGCGTCGCCCTGTCTCAAACGAGGTGTACCGCCGCTTATCTGGCCACGGGCTATGCGCATGCGGCCCACGTAGCAGAAACATGCTACTACTGTAAGTACTTGTAGTGGCGTGTAAGTAGACTACTTGCGAGGTACGGGTCTTGGGCGCTCGCAGCACAGACTTCGGCTTGAATCCGATACCCCGGAGTGTCTGCATGCTACCGCTCGTGGCAGCACGAGGCACCCATGGAGCGAGTGCGAGGCCAGACGACTCAGCCCCGAACAGCAGATCGGTAAGACGTATGGCGGCAGCAGGCAGCAGCAGTAGCAGCAGCAGTCAAAGTGTGCTTGTGCACTTCAGCACATACATGTGTAGGTAGATGAAGAGGAAGCTAGCTGGTCGGCTCGCACGTGTGACGTGTGGGCAGACAGATGGTTAGTAGATGAACATGTATGTACATAGTAGATACGTGTGTATGTATGTACATGTATGCATAGCTGCAAGTAAACCTAGTAAATATACATAGATGGATGCATGGCACTCGGATATCTATGACATGTGTACATGTAGGGCAGTACGTAAGTAGGTGAATATCAGATGGGGGGGGCAATGTCTCGCCAAGAAGCAGCGGGGAGGGGGACAGGGGGGCAGGCAAAAAGAGAGCAGCACAAGCAGGAGCAGAAAGCATGAGCAGAGCAGAGAGCAAGAAGAGGCCGGGCGGTAGGGCTGCGAGGAGGTTGCCCGTGGTGGGTGGGTGGTGGAACTGCTGGTCAGCATCTGTGCGCAGCGACCGCTTCCGCTACCCGCGTTGCAGGCTAAGCCGTAAGCGTTACGTCTGACGCTGTGCCGCCTGCACCTTGTCCACCCCCCATGGCCGACCAATCCGCGGTGCTGCGCTGGCTGCTCGACACCCAGCCTGGTCAGATGCCGGCTATGCAACCCTTGTCAGCCAGCAGGGCCAAAAAGGACCAGCCAGCCCGCCAGCCCGCCAGCCCGCCAGCCCGCCAGCCCGCCCAGCTAGCCAGCACCAACCATCGGCACTGTCCTGCCCTACCACCGCCCCTCTCACCGTTGCACCGGCCTGACGTACAGGCCATGGCCCTGCCTCGCTGCCTGTCCCACTGCCTCCTACCTGCCAGAAGGGGGGGGCCACAGGCGGGCGCCAATCCACACGATAGATTGTCGTCTCAATATGCCAGCTAAGCCCCCCTTGGTCGGCCTCTGGCTGACTGACTGACTGACTGACGGATTGACTGGACTGACTGCCCACACTACCCGCTCGCCGCCCACTGCCTGCCTGCCTGCCTGTCTGTCTGCCTCTCCTCCCCTCCTTTGCACGCACGCACGCACGCATGCACGCACACACTTACTCTCACTCACCTCCCCCACGCCGCCGCCGCCGCCGGGAAACCTCTGCCGTCGCCGGCAGCCCTCTGCCCGCAAATCCACGCCCTGCACCTGCGTGTGCGTCTACACTACTCACGCCAGTGCCAGTGCCAGTGTCCAGGGCCACGCAGCGTTGCGACTACTGGGCAAGCCCTATGCACGCAAGAGGGCCGGCGTGAGCTTCACGCTTCACGCTTCTGGAAAAGCCAGAAACCACGCCTACGACTAAGGCCTGCATGCCCTGACCCCTGCCCGGCAGAGTCTCCACTCTGTTGCTCCGTGCCAGGAGCAACACGCAATAACCAATCATTGTCCGTGAGCCTGCCCAGCGTCGTGCTTAATGTCTAACCCAGTCCCCGGTGGAGGTTCTCTTTTCTCATCCGTCTGCTGCTTGTGCTGCGTGCTGCTATTGTCGTGTCCAGTCGTGTCGCTCCCTCTCCCTCTCCCTCTCTCCACCCCAGAGGAAAAAAACTGTCTCGTCCCTAATGTGCTAAACGCCTTGCACCCAAAGCCTCTCATCCCTTCAACTCCACTCGCCTCCGGTCCACGCTAAAAAAACAGGGCCCTTACCCATAGGCCTTGCTTGGGCTGCTCTGCTGCAGTGTACCATGAGCATTGCATTCACCACAGCAATTTGACCATCTGTCTGTCTGCCGCCGCCGCTGCCAACATCCCATGACCAATAGTCTGCATCGACAAGAAGCAAATATTGTGGCGGTGCGGGCCAGAATTGTTTCTTCAGCTCGACCCTACACCAACGAGGGTCTCAGCCCTACGAGCAGCCTCAATCGCTAGTCAACGGGTACGAAGAAACCGCCCCCGCTCCCTCGACTACTTATCAGCCTCGCCCTCGGAATTCCCCCAACGACACGTAACTCCCATACCCAGGTAAGCCACACACTCACTGTCACTCTTGCAATACCCTTCAGCCGCTCCCTTACCCACCTCACTGCACTCTTCCCTGCCGGTTTCGGTCATGCCGTCTGTGGTTGCAGGCTAACTCTTCTGCGTCTAGGTCCGTGCCCACATACACTATCCAGTAGCCACTGTCTTTCACGCGTCTTGCTCGTCGCGACTCGCCACTTTTGCGGTGCTCGTGTGCGGCAAGGTACGCTTCAGCTACTACCCCCTTAGTGGCGGCCTGCCGACAATTATCGGCACCACCACAAACCATGTCCTCGACGCCGAGCATTCGCGTATATGATTCCCACCGCTATCCGCTACCACACCATACCCGAGCCTCGATAGGAAGCCCGGCTGTAGCAATGGCTATACCGAGAGTACGTAAGCTCGTGTTCCTGCTTGATACCTTTTTTCTTCTTCTTCTTTTTGTGTGTGTGGGCCTGGAATGGTATTGCCCAATTCGCATGCTTGAAATAGCATCCGAACACACTGCAATCCACTTCAGGTCCCTTGCCATTCACCATCCCATTTATTTTAACAATTGACTGACTGCGACGCAAATTTCACAGGCTCGCGATCAAGTCCCGCCACCCTTGCCTCCACCACGTCACATCGAAGACCTTAGGACTGGCCAAGACCCTGGTTGGCAATGGGGTAACACAAATAGTCCAAGGGACACAGGTTTTGGCGGAAATCGGCTCGCGACAGTTAAAGCTGGCTCGAGCTTATACGGTGGAGCCCCAAGCAACTACCCACGGGAGCCCGCGGGCAACTACATTCTTTCTCGCAACCGAGAACCTTCCATCTCCAGGTCACTCGAAGACATGAGCTCCGAACACAGCGGTCACAGCGATGAAGAACGCAACGCCAACTCTCGCCCATCGCTTGCAAGCCACCGCTTCACAAGTGAAAGACAGTTGGGGCAAAAGGCCCTACAAAACTCATCGCAGGCCTATGATAAGCAATTGCTCTCCAAGATTGGTGGCCCAAGTACACCCACAAGAACCACTGCACCTCCACTATCCTCTGGTAACACCCAAGATGCCGTCAATGACCCGCACACTTCGATACACAAACCCAATGGTCAATTGAAGCCGTTGACTGTACCTGCCCTCTCGCCAGGCTACACGGGCTTTCGTAGCCCCATATTCGACCCAACAGAGCCGTCCAGGGCACGCTACGGCAGCATCTCGACTCCAGGACCATTGGACGACACCTCTTCCACACACCGTGGTAGCTATGATCACAGCATGTTTTCAGATCCCGAGTTCAGCATGGAGGAAAACGGCATGCGCGACTTGAACATCAATGAGCGCAGCCCTGCCGAGTCAGAAGAGTACCAACTGGGCCCAAAGGGCGGCCTGAAACGGCGCGCCTCGTCGCCTCCCTCTGAAGCTGCGCGCGACGATCGTCCGACAACAAGCGGCCACAACGATCTATATCACCGTCGTTCAGCGCAAATGCTCGTCAACCGGAACTGCAATGCATCGCGGTTCCATTCAAACCCAAGTTCCTTGTCTTCAACCGGATCTGCAAGTCAACGTAGCGGCTCGATTGCGTCTTCGTTTGGCTTCTCCACAGCCCCAAGTAGTATAACAAGCTACGGCGGAGATCAGCGCTTGTCACCCAATGCGTTGTCACCGTTAGGGGAGACGGAACTGGGCCCCGTGTCGCCTTATGCAGCTAACAGGTCGTTGGATCCCAGCCCCCGCGGGTCCCTGTCACGACCTCCGCATCAGCGAGGCTTTTCGGAGACCGAGCATCCACAAATCCGAAAAATGTCAACAGAAAGCATGCTACAATCGCGACAGAATTCAATCGCAAACCGCCTGCCAGGTGCTTACATTTGCGAGTGTTGCCCCAAGAAACCTAAAAAATTCGACAGTGAAGAGGAGCTCCGGTAAGTGACATGGGTCGGCGTCTTACCCACCGCTATTTGCCCTACCCATGCCCGGATGACCATGCGCTGACCCCTGCAACAGATTGCACGAGCTGGAGAAGCAGTATATCTGCCAGTATTGTCCTAATCGTTTCAAGAACAAGAACGAAGCTGAGCGCCACCAAAACTCTCTCCACCTACGGCGACACTCGTGGTCATGCGCAACACTTGCCGGCGTTCATGCAGCTTTCCACCCCTCGGCTACTCGCCCGGCTGCCGCAGACGTCTGTGGGTATTGCGGTGAAGAATTCCCTAACCCTGCGGATTGGGAGGCTCGAGCAGAGCACTTGAACCACGTGCACAAGTTCGGCGAATGCAATCAAGCCAAGAAGTTCTTCCGTGCAGACCATTTCCGACAGCACCTGAAGCACAGCCATGCAGGGACCAGTGGAAAGTGGACTAACATGTTGGAAAACGCCTGCATGAGAGACGAGCCGCCGCCTCAAGAGCGCGTCGGCTCGATTGCCTCGATATCCGGCCCTTCGAGCCTTACAACCAAGCCCGGCGTCATCAGCGAAGCACATGACGAATCTTGATTCACCAAAAGTTTTACCAAACACCTAGGAGACACGTGCGGCACACCATCTCCAGGCTGATCTGACCGGAATTTATTCAAACGAAGCGCAGTCTATGACGACATTATTCAGTTCCATTCGACAGTAGCATTCTCTCCAAACCATTGCTTTTGGCTTACATATCAGCATTCCCAGGCATGGTCTTAATCTAGCAAAAAGTCTTTACAGTCGCAAATTGTCTTGCATTTACCATTCATTCCCGGCCAGGCCAGGGCGCTTCGGCATAACGACACTGATGATGGCATTTGGTTATACGTATCGGTATCAGGCAATCTTCTGATGCTGGTTCAACGACACATTCGATGCATTTCTATGGGTGTTTTTGTTTCAGCGGCGGCGTTGATAGGACAGACATGTCCAGGATCATCTTCATAGGCAGCTCTTTTCTTTTTTTTGCGACTACATTCCTTGTTGACCTATTATACAAAAACCATTTTACGAATACAACAACAACTGTTAAAGTCATATCAAGGGGAAAAAAGTTTTTGCTCTCTCATTAGTAGTACGGCGTGGCCGAATATCATATTGATAATTGCCTACTTTGTATTTTCAGTTTCGCCGTTCTCGGCTGATTTCTTGGCTTGGAATACCCCAGCATTAAGGTGGGCGGGCAGTATGGGATACGAGGCTCAACTAGAACAACAACGTCATGGAAAGCAATGTCAAATCTTGATGCACATCTTAGGGCTGTGTAGCGTGATAGTGGCAACGTGCATTCCCCTTTTTTGCCTTCATTTCTCAGCTCATTTATTTTGACGTTCAGCCTCAGGGCCTAGCAGACGCACAAGTGAGCGTCAGCCTCAGTAGTAAACTCTTGGTAGTGTCATTTTTTTCCCAAGTACTAGATGCTTACTAGTCAAAGTGATGCGTACGCATATCAGTCGCCACCTCGACTTTTGCATCAGCAATCAACCGGGAGGGAGGGGGGACTGATGTTCCTTGGTGAAAAGAAAAAACAAACGGTGTTCCCCGTAGTACGACTGTTCTCAGGGTTCCCCCCCCCCCTCGTATCCCGTCGTCAGCATCCACCACCCCGTGAGCAACCAAGCCCTGCATATAATCCCCAACCCGTCAGCAAAAGTCCCGAAAACATTAGTTTCAACAATACACGCATCATATATATTTTCTTGAACGAGGTTCTTCCCAGAAGAAACACACACGTATACACTACACTACACACATATGTTTTACCAGCATCCCCGGTCCCTCCGGTTCCCCCAGTTCTCCCCCCGGCCCCTGTCTCTCCAAAAGAAAGAAAGGAAAAAAAAACTCCCCGTGAACCCAAGCTACTGAAAGCAGCTATCCGGTTGTCTTCGGATGTAAGCGGTTTCACACACCCAGTTTTTTTTGTTACTACCCCATCTACTAGTTTAAACTCCAAATGGAGGGGGGGGGGCAAGAATGCGTCTGCGTCAATGGCGCGCATCTCCTCTCTGTCTCTCTCTCTCCGTACTCCACTCTTTGCACTATTCTAAACCAACCCCCTTCAAGGTAAAGATCCGGGCTAGGAAAATAACGCAATGACCACATACGTACTCAAGTAAAGTAAAGTAAAGTAAAGTAGTAAAGTATTGTCGTACCTAGTTGCTTCGTCTTTTTTTTTGGGCATGCGCAAGCGCAAGCGCTAGGTAAGGCTAGTGAGGGGGGCAATATGGCCATGCATACTATACTTGTGTTTTATAACAAAGTTTATGGTACATGTATGTATGTATGTACATTTCCAATACTTGGGGTTTCCTTGGGGTGATTTCATCGCCGACTTTAGTGCATTTTGTGTGTGTGTGTTAGAGTACTAACAAGGGTAACGTACACTAAACAGTGTGATATTTGAGTAGTAGTGTGTTTTTTTTTCGTTTGGAGTTAGTCTGGGGACCGCGCTCCGTGTGGGTTTCAAACCTAGATTTTTTTTGGTCAAGTTGCGTATAGGGTAGTTAGGTATTTAGGTTGCGGGCTTTTCAGTTTATTTTAGTTTATTAAGCTCAGGCCCTTTCTGTTTTTCTGGCCCTTCTTTTTTATTCTTACTTCACTAACTCAAACAGAAAGAGGACACGGTTGTGGAGCTTGATGGTGGTATTTCGTATTTGGAGTTTTTATTTCCTTTTTGGTGCTTCCGAGGTATAGTGGAAACCATGCAGGGCGGTTACTATAGGGCTGGTATTTTCGGGGGTATTATTTATGGATGGGGTAAGTGCTTGGTATCGTAAGTACCTATCTTCTTCTAGTGTGTTTTGCGAGGAAAACAGGGACCCATTTGTCATATTGGGCTGAGTAGATCATTATAGCATTGCGCACTTCTGTTCAAGTGAGTACGTGTCTTCGGCAGATTACACCCATCTTGCGATACTTGATCATGGCTCACACGCGAAGAGCGCAAATTACACGCAACTACAAGCATCAACGCCATCTACGCGGCGTGTCTCTAATAGACTAGAAGACAAGTGCCGTGACGATCTGCCACTGTCGTGCTTCCCAGCCCTTTCCGCTACCCCTCCTGTGCTACGCCAGCCAAGTCGAGACTGCTTGAGATCAACAAAGGGACAAGATAGCGCTACACCAAACAACGCATCCTGCATCGGACCTGACCCCAGCCTCCCATGTCCACGTGATCCGACCCTTTTAAAGTACTCACTCGCCTGGGACCACCCACCCCTAACCCTGTCCAAACCCCACCCTCATAGTGCTTACCCTGTACTTACCTATGGCACTCCCCCATACTCCCCCGACCGGCACATTTCCTGTCTTTCCGCCGAGCAAACCGGACCCTTTTTTCTCACTAGCTAATTTGTTCTACTGCCTTCTTACCGATCTTCTCCCTTCCCGTGCGCCCTCTCGCGCCAGGGCGTAATGCGGGAAGACTGTGGGGAGGGGGGAGAAAGAGAGAAGGAGAGAACGGTGAGCACTAGAGATGAGGTAATCACCGACGTGGGAACTTGCCGAGCCGTACGTGTGTGTGGTAGGACGCCTTGGTGTGGTGCAGGTTAGGGTTTCCTGTGAAGCTGTACGTTAAGAGGCATACTAAGGAATAGTACCGGCGGCGGCGGATGTGGGCGTGCGCATGATTTCGCATCGCAACGTGTTGCTCTGCTGGGGGTTAGGCATCGTCGGGTCGTTTTTTGGCTGAGTCAAGGTTTACACATCTTCCTGGATGCCATGCAACCTGTGTTTTGTGTGAAGAGGCAAATATTGGCATTGGGAGGGGGAAGGGGGGGGGTTATCTCGCGTGTGTATGTAAGACGGGTTACAAAGTTCATTTATCTTGGTTCTGATTTACTGGGCGCTCAGCAAGAAAAATCAAAATTCGACTTAATACCGCTCTTTTTTGTTAGGTTGCTGGCTCTGGTTCGTAGGTTTAGTTCGGAAGTTAAAGTAACTTCCGTACTATTGATGAATCATGTCTACATGTGTTTGTGTACATAGCATATTTCAAGGTTTCAAACTCTAACATTGTTGTCTGGGCATGCTTAGTCGGACCAATCGCGTGGTGTGCCGTCTTCGGGTCACGCCTTTCCCCTTTAGTATACACTCTGTTCTGAGGTGAGAGAATAGCAAGACGAGTCATGCCTGTTATTGTGGCTGAACAAAGTTTACCGGTAGTTGTGTAGTGACCATGGTTGATTCCAGGATAACTACGTTTTCCTGATTTCCAAGCACAAAAATCTAAAACCAATTTGATAGGGGATCATAATTGGAGCCCTGCATGAGCCTTTTATTTCTATCTTTTTAGTTTCAGCTGGAGGGCGCATCGGGCATTGCAGGTGAGAGATGAGATTTTGACAGATCGGGCAAACTTCTTTCCGCGCACTAAATTATTCCAGGATATGCTCTACGTATGTACATAAGAAACGGTGCTTACGCGCCAAGTCATCCATGGATCTTTTCCGCATCTTAAAATCAGCTCTCGAGGGGCTGATTTATCCCAAACGATTCACAGAGTCTCACGACCCTGTATCGCTCGAATAAGCCCGACGCATTGCGAAAGCGTACTCCTTGCCCTGTACTTGCGCCATAATGGCTCAACATCACCTGACCAGATCTGGATCAAGATGTACCAGCTGAAGGAGCAAACTTACACATTGATTTATCCTGGTTACCACGTGCTCATAGTAGTTCAGTGTTGTGGGCAACGTGCCGTCCCATGTGTTCGCATATGCGCGGGCCCAGTGTTCTCGAGTCGCGAAATGCCCGTCTGACAACGCAAGTACATTTTCTTCTTCATTTCCACCCCACGCCAACCGCAACAATACTTATCATAAGTCTCCACATCCATGGATCCTGAACTTGGAAGGACGAGGTTCCCGTATCTTCAGTTGCGTCAATCTATACGTGCAGCAACATGGCACAAGCGAGGATGGTAAGACAGCCTCGTTGAATACAATCATGACTCGAAAGTCGGATAATAGAGCCAGCCCAATTGGGACGGCGCCTCATAGTGCATTTACAAACAGGGAACAAAATATCAGTGACATTCCTGTCGTGTCTTGTTCGTCCCCAAAATCAGGCTCACCGCGTTCTGGCTGACGGCAGATACGGTATACGCAAAAAGTTGCAGCGTTCCTTGGACGCCTGATAAGCGGGTCGAAAAAGAGTGGAGAGCCGGCCACTCCGACAAGGGATCCATCTGCGCGTTTTGTTACATTTGCCCTATGGTAGGGCTAGGTGCCACAGATATGCATTTCCTGGTGTCTTGCCATGTGTTTATGGTACGTAGGTCCATGCTTTTTTGGGAAGGTGGCAAGGCCCAACTATCTTTTCCTCCGATAGGGCTGGTTGGGCCAGCATCATATGCACAATTTATCAACTACTTGTTTGGATGTGCGGAAATGGAACGGTAAGAATCTGCACACTGTGTATAATGTATCGAACGATGTGGTGTCTTACTATGTAATAGTAAGCCCGCGCGGGACGATGCTGACCCGCCAGGCGTTCTACCAGAAGCTCATCATGTTTGCCTTGCGTTCGTCGTGGCAGACAAGCTTTTTCATGTCATAGTTTTAATCACACCGCGCAGCGGGCTGACCGTCATCAGCTCAAGTATGCGCGTTCAAGATGTGGTAGTACAATTCTGGATGCGGAGAAGGGCTGTGTTACTGCATCAGCGTCAATCTTCGACAAAACGGTAGACAGCTGAAACATGGCTTGGAATGACATGCAAGGCGACGCATACGCAGGGCTGACTGGTCGATCATGATTTTGGTTGATGAGCGGCCTTGCTTCCCTAATACTTTGTGTCATGAGAATAGTATCAGTGGATGGCGCCCAAGGATAGCACCTTGCGCCCGTGGAAGCTACCGTAACCAAATGTTACCATGGAGCATGGGTAGTATCCAAACGTTGTTTCATCTGAGAATGTGTACTTACGTGTCTTTGCAGCTACTGCATCATGCCTAATACTATGCGTCTATTAGAGAAGTCTCCCGGGCTGGGAACTGCCAAGAGACGCATCAACTACCGATCGCATGGAAATGGACGATCCTAGGAGCGGATATATATCCTGTGACTCGGCAATTCTAGTATCAATGTACGCCGGGATGCAAGTGGGCTGGATAGTGGGTAACTATTCGTTCGTACATAGCTGGTATGCAATATCATCTTGGCCCTACGAATAGCTTCAATGGCCGAATTACACAATAACACCAACTGGAGTAGTACATGATCGTGCAGCTCGCGTCAGGACTTGCGAAGAGTGGGGACTTGCATGTGTATAACAAGATGCGATGTTGTGTGATTGGTGCAGTCCGATAAGGGCAAACGCATGGCTACCGCGTCAAGCGCATGGGACTTTGGCAATGATTAAAAGTGAAATCAGCGAATCGCAATTTAACCTTCATCAATGCAGAGTTTCTTGAGAACGGTATGTTTCCAGATCCATCTGCTACTCTAGCGCGTGACGAAGCACCTTGTATAAGGGAGCAGTTACTATCAGCCACATGGTCAACAACCACGGGATCGAAGAGCCATACACATGATGTTTGCCCACATAACATGGCGCCTGAATTTCAAGTTTTACGAGAGTATTTCTGTGAAATTGGATCGATGGATCCGCTGCGAAATAAATGCAAAGAGCGATATCATTCTTGGTGGACATGGAGCTCTATGACTCCGGAATGGCCGCGAACTATTCCGTCAGCAGACATTCAAACACCCACAATCCAGATGAACGGTAAAACAAAACATTTCAATATGCACGACACGTGTGAATTCCAGTAAGCATGGCATTCTGTACAGCCACTAATTGCTGACTGCATTGTATGCAAAGGATCGACGACTGACAGCAGTCAGCCCTCCCAAAGTCCGTTGATAGCTGATGTATTGCTGTTGACCGCAATGTGGCTGACCATGACACGCGACTAAGGGTTACCACTGGGTACCGATGGGAAGTTCTTGGGGTCGTTCAGCCGTTCGCGATTTCTTTTGGCGATTTCTGCATTTCGGAGTTTATCCAACCTCATTTGGTAGAAGCTTCTGTGTAACGTCAGTATAATGGGGAAAGTGTCCCGAGACATGCGCACTTGTTGAGTTGGAATATACGAGGACCAAGCTCGGTTTGAGTCTTCTCCTTTGTCTTTGAAAGCTCTTTGATCTGTATTGGCAGTTAGTACAGGGAATTTAGATTCCATGATCATACTGGCCTTGTCGTCTTTGGCTTTCTCGTCCTGCTTGTCTTCATCATCTTCCTTAGCCTTTTCTTCCTTCTCTTTCTCCTTGTCCTTTTCTTTGTCCTTTTCTTTTCTCTTTTCACGTTTGAGTTGCTGCTTCTGTTCATACTCTTTCTTGACTGCTTCGATCTCGCGGTCCAACTCCTCTTGCTTTTTCTGATCGGCAACCCTCTTTACCTCCTCAGCCTCTGGCTGGCAGAACCCTCGATCAGTCAAGTGTCCAGCGCAGATGTAGAAAAAGTCCTGAATTAATATGAGCACTTATATTTCAGTTTCAGAGTCATAACACACCTTATTGGAAGGCGTAATCAAGACACTCGTGGATGGTTTGTAGCATATCCAACAAGCTTTGGCGGCATTGTCCGCGACGCGGCGGAGATGCCACACATTCTCCATTGTATTGTTCAGTTTAGAAATGTTCGCCTTGTACGTTATTCAGGGTACCGGAAGTACACGGTGCACAGGTAAACCCCTTGGGGTGTATGAGGCGGATATCGATGCCTGCGATACCGACTCAGGCTAGATTTCTTCCGCTATTCGAGTGTTATGAAGATATCAAGTTCACTCATACCTAAGTGTAATGCCCTGCTATGGTTATTGCATGTACGTAGAGATGCTCGGTGGTGATGAAGTGGCTGAGCAAGATTGGGAGATGCAAAGGTTCGAACTAGGCTTAAAATGTATTAGTCTCAGATGCTACAGGCAACTGTGACCATTCCTCATTCTCCTCTCCAACGGGGTTTTTTTTGACCCATGTTTTCGATGACTGTACGGATATATGGTCTACGAAAATTGTTTAAAGATACAATTCAACCGAAACAGATACGTCTAGTCCCGAGCACCATAAAGCCCTCGAACAACTTTGCAAGTGCGTCATCTTAACACGCTTCAATATCTAGTTTTCTAAGTTAACACTCTCATTAGACAATCATTCTCTCTCTCTAAAATCTTATCGGCAACATAGCAACATGGCTGCTTCGACGCAATTAAAGTACATTGATGTTGGTCCATATTTCACGCCTCTACCCCGCTAAACTTCTGACCACAAAATCTAGATCGGTATCAACTTCACCGATCCCATCTTCAGGGGTGAATACCACGGCACCCAACGTCACGAAAATGATTTTGAAGATGTTATTCAGAGAGCGGTCGACGCTGGTTGCAAGAAGTTTATGGTAACAGGATCTGATCTCGAAGAATCAAAGCACGCTATCGAGATAGCAAAAGCTCATCCAGGCCTCTGCTATGCTACTGTAGGCGTACATCCTTGCTCGGCAAACCATTTTGACAAGCATCCCGGCGGTGCATCAGAGCTTCTCTCTGCGCTCAAAACTCTAGCCATTGAAGCCAAGGAAGCAGGTCACGCAGTTGCTTTTGGAGAGATAGGCCTCGATTACGACCGACTTTTTCTGACGGCAAAGGAGCCACAGCTCAAGTACTTTGAGGCGCAACTGGAGATTGCGGTGGAAGTGCAGCTACCACTCTTCCTACACTCGCGTGCTGCAAGTGAGGATTTTGAGAGGTTATTGACTGCGAAGCTTGATCAGCTACCCAAGAGAGGTCTCGTACACAGCTTTACTGGGACTGCAGAAGAGATGCAGCGCCTCGTGGATCTAGGCTTTGATATTGGCGTTAATGGCTGCAGCATGAAGAGTATGTGCCTCTTTCATCTACTGTTTTGATATTTCTACAAATACTGACTAACGTTTCTTCTCAGCGGATGAGAATATTGCAGTCGTGAAACAGATACCGCTCGAGCGCCTACAGATTGAAACAGACGGGCCATGGTGCGAGATGCGGCCCAGTCACGCATCAGCCAAGTTCCTCACAGATGCTCCGCCTTTACCAAAGGCTGTCAAAAAGGAGAAGTGGGCTAAAGGTATGATGGTAAAGGGGCGAAATGAGCCAGCTACAATTCCACATGTCGCGTATGCCATTGCAAAGATTAAGGAAATCAGTGTGGAGAAGGTTTGTGATGCGTAAGTACTTGTTGTGTCCCTTGTGCCCAGGAGTAGTAACTAATGATAGTGTAGTGCTTGGAAGAACTCAGTCAAGATGTTTGGGTTGGGGGAGGCGGTGTAATACCAAAATGCCGCCATAGATGGGGTCGATTCGGTGTACGCAATGCATATGGAATATCGATTTATACAGAATGGATGTATGCCCCAAGCTCGCATGTACAAAGACTGCAAAATAGACCACGCCGAACCAGCCACCCTTTACTTCCTGTACCACATCCTGGTGATCTTGGTATGCCTCATCTTCTTCTGCAGCTGGAAGACACCGTACATGAGTGCCTCAGCGGTGGGCGGGCAGCCGGGTACGTAGATATCCACAGGTACAACACGGTCGCATCCTCTTGTGACTGAGTAGCTGTAGTGGTAGTATCCTCCTCCGTTTGCGCAACTGCCCATGGAAATGACCCATCGGGGGTCAGGCATCTGGTCATAGACCTGTCGCAGTGCTGGTGCCATCTTGTTTGTGAGGGTTCCGGCTACAATCATGACGTCGGACTGTCGCGGGGAGGCACGGAAAATGATACCGAGACGATCCTGGTCGTATCGTGGAGTAGACAAGTGCATCATCTCGACGGCGCAGCATGCGAGACCGAAAGTCATGGGCCAGAGCGAGCTCTGACGGGCCCAGTTGGCAACTTGGTCAAGTGTTGTCCTGTTGACGCAAGTCAATTCATGCTCTTTACTGTGCTTCTTGGCGCCCATTTCGATATTCAAGAGCAATTCAGAGAGAAACCACATACAATGCATATTGCATAGCACCCTTCTTTCCCTCCTGACTTGGCAAGGGCACCTCAACCCGCGCTGACTTCATTGGTGGCGGTGTTCCAGGGTTGCCGGGAATGGTGGCAGGCGACTTCATAGTCGTTGCATTGTTAGACGAGCTCGAAGATAAAAAGGCTACGCTTCCGGCGCGGAATGGCATCAAGGCCGTCGCGGGTTTGACTGTCCATGGAGTCAGTTTGGCGGGACCGGGAGCTTTTTCGGGCGTGCGGCGACAAACCTCGCAGAGCCATTGAGGCAGCAGACCTTGTCGTCGAAAGCATGTTTGCGACGGACAGCAAGGAAAGGCGTGGGCGAAGGAGTGGAGAGGCGAGATGTGGGGTGGCGGTTGAGGGAGTCGCGAAGTTGATCGATGAGGTAGGTGCATCAAAATGCTTGGCGGAAATCGATTAGTCGTCGGTTTTGTCGCCGTCTGATAGGCCGGCCAACGATCACTCCTTCGCCAACACCCTTTCGGACTACTTCGGCCAGACTACTCCGCATCCACGCCCAGGGTGCTTGAAGACTGCCGTAGTCTTTTGATATCGCATAAAAATGTCAGGTCGGGTAGGTGGTTGATGCGGTTAGGGCTCAGAGTATGTGTTGACTGTGTCTAGGTCCCGTCCATTGCTTGCATTGGCGTTGTCGGCAAGCACGTGAGTACCTCATCATTTACCCACTCCTGACCTGTTCCTATACTGAATATCGGTAAAGAACAACCCACTGCACATCTCCCTCTTTCCAGCAGAAGAGCGTGCGCCACTAGAGTTTCAGTTCCTTCTTTCATCATGTTTGGACATCTTCGAGGCTCGTCTGCCGCATAAGACAGCAGACCAGGATTTTGGCCTTTTGCAAGCAGTCGATGAGAGACTAGCTATGTATGGCTGGCTCACCAACACTGGTATCAAATTTATTATTGTCGTGGATATGGAGGGAAAACCAGCCAATCCCCTCGATAACAAGTCTGCTGCTGCTGTTGGGCTGCGAGATGCAGACATGAAACCTGTAAGCCCAATGTTCTACAGTTCAACAATCTTCTGACCTTATCTAGGCATTCAGAGCATTGCAGACGGCGTACATAAAGCTGCTCAGGAATCCGTAAGTGAAGATGCGGGGCGGCTGATGGGTTGTGACTGCTAACAACAACACCTAGGTTCTACGACCCTGATGAACATTCTCCAATCACTGCCAATTCTGAGCAAAGGATTGGCTCAACTCAGATTACAAGCCGAAAGTTTATTCAAGAAGTCAAACGGATTGCTGATGCATGGTCTCCCGGTGTTATGAGTATTTAAGCAATTTCTACTTGGGGTTACCATGACACCACATTTAATTTACAGGCGTTTAGAATCAAACCACCTTGATCCTATTCCTTTGTTTGTGGACTGATCTTTTCCATGTCCCTTGTCCGATGTTGCGACCAGTTCATGTATCGGCACTTCCCAAAAGCGCTAGCGCCGATTGCAGTATAGTCCAATGTGAGAGCAGATCACCTCGGCCATTTGATGTCGTCTTCAGGACGATGCGACACAAGTTCTACTTCCTCAAACCAATGACTACCAATGTCGTCCACCGGTGTTGCGATCACCAACCCATTGGTGCTATATCGCAGTCTCATCGCTACGCAGAAGATCCGACCTGATCCCGCTCAGCATCGCCTCGGTATGACGTCTACTATTCTGGACCCGCCAAGGACATTGTACATGTACTAACTGTGGCCATCAGCCTTGCACTTACAGAAACTCTATGATCGACTGATCGACTATGAACCGACTGTAGAGTATTCGAAACGACTGCAGCAACTTTCCCGGGCAGTTGGTTCAGATCAAAATGCTGCAGCAGCCCCAACAGATACGCATGCCAATCGCTTTGGCAGAAGGGGCGTATGGACATCGCTACTTGCCGAGAAAGAGAAAAGAGATTCAGTAGCCTTGACTCGTGTTCTAACTAGCCATGATGAGGCCATGCAGTTACAGAGCCCCAAAGGCCTTATGCTGCACGGTGAAGTTGGAACTGGCAAATCAATGCGTAAGGCTTGAGAAAGCATTTTGTAGACATGAAGGCTCACCTCTTCTTCAGTTATCGACTTGTTTCAAGAATGTCTGCCCAATCGCAAGAAGCGGCGTTGGCACTTCAATACTTTCATGCTCGATACCATTTCCCGACTTGAGCAACTTCGAATATCTAGGTCATTAGTAGCCGGCCCAGGAGCACCCAATGACGAGTATTCATTGCTTCTCGTTGCACGTGATCTGATCGAGAAGTCGCCGATTCTCTTCCTAGATGAATTTCAACTTCCAGACCGTGCCGCGAGCAAGATTTTGTCTAACCTCATGACGTCTTTCTTCCAGCTCGGCGGTGTTCTCATCGCAACGAGCAACCGCATGCCAGAGGAGCTTGCTAAGGCTGCAGGAATGGAGTTCTCACGACCAGTGCACCGTCTTAGTCGACTAGGCTGGGGCATGACCAAGAGTTCGTACATAAGGAGAGATGACGGAGCGGGGCAGCTGGGCGAGTTTTCGGCATTCCTGGAAGTACTAAGAGCGAGGTGTGAGGTCTGGGAAATGGAAGGGAAGAAGGATTATCGAAAGCTGGAATTGGAAGACGCAAAGGAAACTCCTGAACGGAGGGACAGCGTACAAGTTTCCGTGTCTGAGACTCTGGATGCTATTGATTCGGCCACGACTTTGACTGCTACTGGCGCAACGAGTACAGCAGAGGATTCTAAATCCACCGAGACTGCATCCGCCCTACCAAAGAACTATCTCATCCAGCCCCAAACTGCAGAAACCATGATTGAATTCGGTGAAGCTTTCAACTCCCTGGTTGAACAGGCAACACGCCACGAATACCCGATTCCCTGGGCTCCTGCCACATTGACTATATACAACCGCGCTCTCCACGTCCCCGCCCAGTACAACGGTGTAGCCTTCTTCACCTTTGCCGAGCTATGCGGTGCCGTGCTCGGTCCCGCCGACTACATTACGCTCGCCTCTACATACCACACCTTCATCATCACCGACGTACCCATCATGGGTCTACTCATGAAAAGTGAAGCTAGACGCCTCATCACCCTACTTGACGCCATGTACGAAGCCCGCTGTCGACTAATGATTACCGCCGCCGCTGCCCCAGATGAGATATTCTTTCCCGCACGCCCACCTTTTTCTTCAGCAACAGACGGAGAAACGCTCGATACCGACGCCGTACACCCCGAAACCTACTCTGAAATCTACCAAGATCTCAACTCCCCTTTTCGCCCAAACATTTCGTCTTACGCTGGCTCTAGTCATAACATGCTATCGGACGACGCACTTGAAGATGACCCTCCAAACCGCATGCGCAGACCCGATTCTTCGTACACGGATGAGCGCCGCTTGGGTCCTGGATCTCCTGACTTTGCCAATATCGGGGGACTAACGGGTGAAGATGAGAAATTCGCGGTTAAACGAGCTGAAAGCAGGATTTACGAAATGTGCTCAGGGAAATGGTGGGATCGTGCTGCGAACGTCGATACGATAGATTGGTGGCGCCCTCTTCCGCTGGAGAATCGGCATTGGGAACACCGCGTCTCGTCGTCTGCTGCCTATCCTGCTGCACCGACGTCGAGTACGTTGCCGCCGAATACCAAGGTCCTGTCTGCAGAAGAGCGCGAGAGAGACAGGCAGAGGGAAATGGAGGATATGTTTAAGCACGGGGCTAGTCCGTTCCGGGTGCATCCTGATGCGCCGCCAAAGTTTAGCTGGACACATGCATGGGGGATGGTGAGATGGGGGAAGAAGGCTGGGGCTTGGGGGAAGGGAGTAGAGGGATTGGGAGAGAAGGTTAAGGAGAAGATGGATGAGGGCGTAGAAGACAAGAACAAGAAGAAAGACGCATAGAGGATTAGATGGGTCTTGCTTGCTAAATGTTTCTAAGATAAAGGTACAACTTTCTTTTTCGATTCGTAAAATCATACTACATGTTCCAGTCATTCGAACCAGGGATCTAGTCACTGGATCTCGCCCTTGTTGACCACAAACGCCTCGAGCGCACTAATGGCACTCCACAGCCTGTTCTCTGCTTCCTTGAACACAACGCTCCTCGGTCCGTAAAAGACCTCGTCGGCAACCTCCTCTGGGTGACGAGGCAGGCAGTGCATGAAGCTCCAGTTGTCCTTTGCGCCGCCGCGTTTGGCTAGGTCCGAGGTGATTTGGAAGCCCTCGAATGCCTTGAGACGCTTTGCGGTTTCTTCTTCCTGGCCCATGGATACCCAAGTATCTGTCACTAGGATGTCTGCATTCTTGATGGCTTCCTCGGGTGTGTTTGTTTCGAGGAGCTTTCCTGCACGAGGAGAAGTTTGCGCTGCGTGAGAGATGACTTCGCGCATAGACTGGGGGATCTCGTAGCCCGGTGGTGTTGCGACGGCCATGTCGATGCCTAGCTTTGTAGCGCCAATGGCTAGATCGAACAGTACGTTGTTTGCGTCGCCTATCCATGCAATCTTGAGGCCCTCGAGGCCGAGCGAAGTTGCAGATGTCGAGGGGTATATCTCGGAAACTGTGAGCATGTCGGCGATAATTTGGAGGGGATGGTAGAGGTCGGAGAGCGCGTTGATGACAGGCACACTCGAATGCTTTGCGAGGTCTGCAACGTCGGAGTGGGGGCCCACACGGGCGACAATGGCGGCAGTCATGCTGGAGAGGACGAGAGAGGTGTCGTAGAGAGATTCGTTGACCTAGTCATATTGACGTTAGCGGACATGGGGGAGTAGCGGGTTTCGTAGGCAGGCCATACACCCAGCTGTATGTCGTCTTTTCCAAGGAACATGGGTGAGCCACCAAATGCTGCAATGGCGCCTTCTGTTGATATCCTGGTGCGTGTGCTCCGCTTGCTGAAGGTCATGGCAACGGTGCGCCCAGCCAGTGCCCCGCGCATGGAGTGGGGGACCTCTCCTGTCTGCTTGATGGTAGTCTTGTGGCGCTGTGCATTCTGGACAAGCGTAGTGAGCTCAGCAGGTGTAAGGTCAGCTATGGAGAGAAGATGTCGCGGCGCAAAGGGCGATGTGGGAGGTGTTGCTGGCGAGGCCGACGAGTAGCAGCGGCGCAAGCTTCGCAGAGCCGCGGTGGAAGGGCGGAAAGCGGGCATGATGTGTCAATTGCAGTGCAGGAAGTCAGAACAGGCGGTCCAGAGATTTTAAAGTGCGCAATTGCAGCGTAAGAGTCACAGAAGGCACATTACACCAGAGGAGCGACATAGTGTTTGAAGACGCTAACATTCTGACGCATGACAGTGGGGATGATCAGGAATGCTGGGGTCAGAAGGGGGCTAGCGGGCGCGGCAGACAGGCACACGTCGGCCCGCCACCCTGCTGCGCTGTGTGTGGATGTGGGCGCGTGTGGCTGAGTAGATGATGACGAGACCATGAACACCATCTCGTCCCGGCCCTTGGACTTGGACGTGGACTTGACATCTCTCTCTCCCCGTCCACTCCTCTGCCCAACATGGCTCTCGCCTGGACTCCCCTACGGCTGAAGATGGAGAACCCCGACGAGGCGTGGGGCTCCAACTCCTCCAACAATAACGATAACAACGACAACACCATTACCACCGATGCCAACACTCGCACCCCCAGCTCGCGACCCGCCTCGCACAGGTCTGCCCGTTCGTCACGATCAGCACGATCAGCACGATCAGTCCGCTCGCAGCAGTCGAGCAGGACCACCGAAGAGACACCCCTGCTGTCCCAGCAAGATGTAGACGATGACCACGATGACCATGACGATAACTGCGACGAGGCCACGCCGGCGACGCGCTCACTGCGCCAGTCGCTATGCGGCTCCGATAGGGGCGGCAACACTAAAGGCTCGATGTGGAAGAAGCGATGGCCGAGCATACTGGCCCTCATCACCCTCTGTCTGCTCGTCATCTTCATCATGCTCGGTTTTCTTGCCAAAGAGAGCATCGAAGAGTACTCGATGCAGGCTGCCACCTTCAAGCCTACCAAGCTCTCTATGGACGGCTTAACCAGCCATGGCGCAAAGATCCGCATCCAAGGAGACTTCACCATGGACGCGTCAAAGGTCAAGAAGCAGAGCGTGCGCAACCTCGGTCGCTTCGGCACATGGGTCGCCCACGAGGCTGAGACAGGCCCCTTTGACGCTGAAGTCTACCTCCCCGAGTATGGCAACATTCTGGTCGGCACTGCCAGTATCCCAGGCGTCAAGGTGGATATCAGGAACGGACACACCACACATGTAGTTTTCGATGCCACTGTGCAGCCAGGATCTCTTGACGGTATTCGCAACATTGCCGA